GGCTTGGTTTTGTTTTTAGTGTGAACCTATAATTAGTCTGAGTTTTCCTGAGTTGTTAAGTGCAGTCATGAAAAAACAAAACATAAAAATAGGAAAAATAATCAATTGAGCTTATTTCTTTTTAGCCCTTCTTTTCCTAAGTAAAGCATGTTGATAAATTCTACTTTTTTACTTTAGCTGGAAAATTCCTTTTCTTCCAGTATTTGGAGGATAGTCACGTGTGTCCTTCTGTTTACGTGAGATAAACATTAGTAGTTTAAAAGGGTGGGTCAGTCTTTTTCTGGGGATCTGTTGAATTGTATGGTTTTAAAGGGATTCTTAGATGATGTTCTGGTCAAGGCAATTTCTGTTTTTTGGCTATTTAATAATTGAGAACTGCTTTAAAAGAGTAGGTATTTGAACTTTCCATTAAAAAAAAACCCCCCGCATTATAATGTGTTATTGAAGATTATTTGGGGTTTTATTGGCTTGATTTAAAAATTGAATGACCCCCATCTCAGTGGTTGGCAAACTTTGGCTCTCAAGCCACATGCGGCTCTTTGGCCCCTGGAGTGTGGCTCTTCCATAAAATACCATGGCCTGGGCGAGTCTATTTTGAAGAAGTGGCCTTAGAAGAAGTTTAAGTTTAAAAAATGTGGCTCTCCAAAGAAATTTCAATCGTTGTCCTGTTGATATTTGGCTCTGTGGACTGATGAGTTTGCCGACCACTGGCCTATCTAATTGCCAGTATATAAATTTTAACTGGGCCAATAGGAGAGCCGGCTTTCCATTGCATATAGCCTCTGCTATTTGAATTTTCTCTTTCCTCTGAATGGACCTATCGGCTAGCTAGAGTGGACAGTTTTTAATTATGACAGCAGTTTAAAATTCAGATCTGTTTCTCCTCTTCATTGTTAAGTTGTATACTTAAAGGATGAATATGCGTTTACATTCAGCTTTCTGGTCCTTGTCCTTTTTTTTCTTTTCTTTTTTGGTTCTTGTCCATTTTGATGCCTATTAACTGAATAAAATGAGTGGAGGGAACCAGAACTTTGAAGAGTATTTATAAATGGAGAGAGGAACATTTAAGATTACTACTGTGTAATATTAATATACTAATAAGCAATGTGCAGATTAGCTAGGATTGGGATAATACTAGTAGCCATCTTTTGAGTATAGTTTACTTTCAGAAAATACAGTTTCCACACTAAAAAAAGAGTTTCTCCATCCCCAACTCCCCCCCCCCAAAAAAAAAAAAAAAAAACCACACACACACACACACACAAATAAATAAATAAATGAACCACTCATGTGGTCACAGAATTACCAAGATTGATCTGTGGTCATTATCTATTGAAATGGAGATTTTACTTGTTACTGTGAACATTATCATAAGTGTTGTTGGTTCAAGAGACTTATTACCAGTGAAAGACTTTTTGATATAGAAGTGTAGCTAATGGGTTCTGACAACACACTGGGTTTTGTTTCTCAAGTAGAAGGTTGTGGCCTTTGCTTAGGAAATGGTAACATTTCAGCTGCTTATCTGTGCCCTGCAGCTGGCGGAGGAATGCAGCACTGACGCTGGTTTTGCGTTTGGATCCCTGAACACTCGCAGACTTTTCTACCAAAAGAGGTAGAAGAGAGACATAGGTCTTTTTTTTTTAAAGTCATCTTGTTTGGAGATGTCACTGAATCAGGACACTGCCTCAATTTCATATTTACTTTTCATTTTTTATCTTCAAAGCGTGATCCTAATGAGTGGAGGGCTCACCCGGAGCGGTTCAGCCCTGGGAGAATATTGCAGTTGACATAGGACTGCAGCTCTGCTGCCCCCAGAGCCTCACCGAGGCCTGTCCCCCCGAATGTTTGTCACACAGGCCCTCCACCACAGGGAGGCAGGGTGGGCGGTGGCATCTGTGCTTTTGGAACTTTCCTTGTTTCTATTTTCATTTGTAGTTCTTTTCAACAGCAAAGGCTTAGGGAAGCTGAAGTTTGGGCTTCTGTTCAGGGAATAAGTCTAAGCCACAGTAGTTTTATTCCGCTGATAAATGCTTGGGTTTTGGTTACTGCTGGTGATTAAATAACCTTCCCATCTTGGACTAATCCTACTCATCATACCACAGAATCCTCGTTTGGGAAGGTCATGTCATCCCTCGGGTGTCTGAAAAGTTATTGGGCATGAGTGAGGAAACTCCAAAGCTGAAAACTTGCCCCAAACAGTGACAGTTGTGAAGCTACTACTTAAATTGAACACTCCCCGCCCTGGCCCGGCGGCTCGGTGGTTGGAGCACCATCCTGTACACCAAAAGGTTGCAGGTTTGATTCCCAGGCAGAGCACAGACCTAGGTTGTGGGTTTGATTCCTGGTTGGAGTGCGTGTGCAGGAGGCAACCAATCGATGCTTCTCTCTCAGGGTGATGTTTCCCTCTCTCTCTCCCTCTCTCTCTCTCTCTTTTTTGTTTTGTTTTTAAATATATTTTATTGATTTTTTTTACAGAGAGGAAGGGAGAGAGATAACAGAGTTAGAAACATCGATGAGAGAGAGTCATCGATCAGCTGCCTCTTGCACACCCCCTACTGGGGATATGCCCGCAACCAAGGTACATGCCCTTGACCGGAATCGAACCCGGGACCCTTCAGTTCCCAAGCCGACGCTCTATCCATTGAGCCAAACCGGTCTCGGCTCTCCCTCTCTCTTAAACCAATAAAACATATCCTCGGTGAGGATAAAAAATAAAAGACCAGTTTCCAACCTCTGAATTATTTCATATTGCTTCTGTACTCAAGTTTGCTTTGAATGTTTGAGAAGCTAATGGAGTGATGCTTTATTGATTGAGGAAAACATTTAAATAGGAGTAGCTGTGTGTTCCTGGAAAGCTTGTCTATATAACTCTGCAGTTTCTAAAGGCATGCTGAGGCCTGGTTGCGTCCATTTTGTGGACAGTTAAACATTCTAAAAGCTGCAGTTGACTAAATAGGCCACATTGTATCAGTTTTAAAGATAATGTATTGTCCTGGTATTCTAACTTACAGAGAAAGTCTTGTGGGCAGATCTAAGTGGTTTAACTTGTTTCTTAGGATATTTTTTCATAAAAATACTGGTTTTTCTTTTGCAGATTTTCTTGTGAAACCTTCTAGTAGAAAAAGTTCTTGGGACGAAGTTCTTGGTAAGTCTTCCCACCAACTGTGCTGTTTTGAGGCAGGTAAAACGAATTTACAGATTAATTTGGGGCATCTGTTTGTCCTTGTACATAGTATGTACATAATTATTGAGATGAGCTCTTATATTTTCACTTTAATGTTAAGTCTTGAAATGGTTTTTCACTGGAACTCAAACAAGATTGCTTTTTTCATATGTAAGTGTGCTATAATATAATATAATATAATATAATATAACTGGAAACTTATATTTAAGTGGAGATTGAATGAGCTATAGCCCAATTTAAAAAAAAAATAAAAGATTGTTCTCTACATCAACATGAAGTTCTTTTAAATTGGAACTTGGTTCTTATTTTGAATTTTCTTAAATTGTTGTTATGTATGAGAACCAAGGCCATATTACTAGACTTAATGGCATTAATTTGATTTTTAAATAGAAAACAAGTTGTAAAAATTTGTTAGCTCTCTTTAGTGTGGATATTAACTCAAGTCCTGTCCTTTAAAAAAAAAAAATATATATATATATATATATATTTTTCAGAGAGGAAGGGAGAAGGAGAGATAGAAACATCAATGATGAGAGAGAATCATTGATCAGTTGCCTCCCCACCCTCCCCACTGGGGGTTGAGCCTGCAACCCAGTCATGTGCCCTTGGCTGGAATCAAACCTGGGACCCTTCAGTTCACAGGCAGACACACTATCCACTGAGCCAAGACGACCTGTCCTTTACATAGACCTGTGTGTATCTCTTCCTGCCTGACTCTTGACGACTGCCTGTTGTTTCTGCCACCTGTTTAATCTAGGAAATTATAATCTAATATTGTTGAAAAGAGAAGTTGCTTTGGTTTTAAGTTTTTAGATTCAAATCATTTTCTTGTTCCAAAACCTTGAACATGGCATTTAGGCTCTTCACCAGTCACTGCAAGTAAACAAATGCACAAGGCTGAAGTGTGGCTTAGCACACATGGGAAAATCAGCCTGCAGGTGTTAAAACTTCTGGAGAGCCTTGCCCATGTAACTCAGTGGTTAGAGCACCAGCCTAAGCACCGGAGAGTCATGGGTTTGATTCTCAGTCAAGGGTACTGATCTGAGTTGCAGGTTCAATCATTGGCTCCTGTGCGTGTGGGAGGCCATCAATCGATCGATGTATCTCTCTCACATCGATGTTTCTCTCCCTCTCCCTCCTTCCTCTTCCTTTTCCTTTCCTCCTTCCCCTTTCTCTCCCATTCTCTATAAAAATCAATGGAAAAAATAACCTTGGGGAGGATTAACCAAAAAAAACACACCAAAAAATAAAACAAAAACGTGGGAGGAGTATTAGCACAGTTTATGTGAATTCTCAGATGAATTTAGAATATAGGGACAATAAGGCAATTTTGCTACTAAGCCAGTTTGGTTCCCATAGATAGGGGGTTCTATTTTGAACTTACAGATAAAACATTTTTATAATATTACAAGAGTATTGTTTTTGTACTTGCGTATTGGTTTATTATTGCTTTATTATTTTCATCCAAAGCTTATAACCGTTTTCATATTACTAGCAACATTAGGAATATAAGCCCTTGCTATTATTTTGCCCAAAATTCAGGAGGATTTTCACAAAGGCATACAGAGTTTGCATTTGACTAGTGAGAATTTCCTGGGTATTAGTCAACATTTTCTTGGCTGACCCTGGTCAGGTCTTTGGGTCTGTGTATATGTAGTTCCTTTAATTAGAATATGGCCAACTGGGGGGAAATTGCTAATTTTGTCCCTCCCCTTTCCCTATCCCCCTTTTAAAGACCAGGCAGAAAGGAAGGAAAAGCTCTGCCATACACTGAAGAAGGGACGGGGATCTCTCCTCCTAATCTGGGCCTCTTGTCATGGTAAGTAAATAACAAGCAAATAACAAGAACATTGGAATTGGACTCTATTCTGACAAATGACCATTAATGCATCATAGATACCCATTTTTGTTGTAAGGAACCATTTCACTTTTCCTTTCCCAGAACTCTCTTGTCTCCTTTCTTTTTTTGTTAACAGTAATAATTATAGAATATTCTAGTGTATTAAAGCTGTTTCATTTCTATTAGATATTGTCTCCCTTCAGTCAGGTAGCCAGTGGAGTTAAGACTAAAACCCATGATTCTTTGACTCACGGTTTCTTCTTCCTTTTCTTGGCAGTAAGGTATGAAAACTGTTGGAGTGTGTGTAGAATTATGATATGGTCACATATTCTTTATGAATTCACCTCTCTGGATAAAAGCAATTGCCTACCTTCCTCATTTTAGTTAAGGCAGTATTTTTATCCCACAGAAGGTGGAGCAGGTCTGCACTACAAAGAACAAGGATATTTAGTGGACATTTCAGTGACTGGGGGCCATTAGGACCCAGGCCAGTCTAGGCAGAAAAGAGGCAGCAGTGAGTCAGCCACATTTCTATCAGCCCTGAGATAGGTAAATAGAGCTTTAAGACTTAAAAAGGAACAGCCCTCTGTAATATTGTCCTGCTTCTGTCTTGTGATACTTCCTAAATGCAGACTGTTTCATGCTGGTGCACAAAAAAGGAATTGAAAAGGCCATATTAATTTCAAGCTTCATTAGGGACACGGATGGAAAGTGCGTTTCAAAATTAAAAACAAGCTAAAACAGAAAAACTAGTTGAGCAGAAATCCATATTAAAAGGAGGAGAGGTAACTGCTCTCATCTCAAGCTGGGCCAGTTTTTTCTTAGTTTATGGGTATAGCAATGTATCTTAGACCCAAACACAGATGAACTTTTAATGTTATTTTTCCAGATCATGTTTTATTGGTTTTCCCATAGGTTTTAATGAATTGATATTTTCCTGATGTTTAGATGGTACGTTTGTATACCAGTGCCAGTGAAGAGCAGAGGAGCTTATGAAGGGAGCTCTGTTCTGTACTGCGGTGGTCTCCTTCATTGTATCCACTCGCTAGGAACAGTGTGGCCTCAGCCTGGCGCTGCTGGGTCTCTGCCTTGTTTGTGCTAAGGTGCCAGCAGTTCCCCCACTGGTTCTCTTTGCGCTGTTAGTACAGATGTCACACAGTGAGAAAAGGCAAATGAGGTTTTAGCTTTGTGAGGGGGATTTGACCTCCTGGAGCCCCTTGAAAGGGTCTCAGAATCTATAGACCTCACTTTGAGATCCACACTAGAGTATTATGGTTTTAAGATTAGGAGTGTTCTTCGGTAAAACTTTTAAGTTTTATTTATGGGTAGGATCTTGTTTCCCTCTTTGAGGAGGTAGAAAGAATTGTTAGAATTGTGATAAGTAGGATGTGCAGAAATGTCCATCCACTAATTAGTGATTATAATTTAGTGCTGTCAGCTGAGCATGATATGGCCTTTGTTTTTACAAAGTTTGTGTAAATAAATTGCATCATAATTTATACTTAGACTTCCATTATATTGCTTTTCTCTCCTGTCTTCCTATACCATAAAGATTCATAATGTAAAAGACTATATTTTAATGTAAGTTATAATTAGTTCAAGTGCCATTTAGATTAGAATTTATTGCTGCTTTTTGTTGAAATTGCCTCAATAGAAAGAAATCTGTTCTGTATTATAAGACATACTAAACTAGGGATAGTGTTTCACACATGCTTTCCGTTTGAGAAATTTGGTTCTTACGCTTTACATTTTTTTAAAAAACTTCTATTATGGAAATTATATATATAACCAAAGTAGACACGATAGTATAGTGAACCCCCACTTACCAGGTTTCACACACCATCCCTCATGGGCAATTCTGTTTCATTTATGCCCCATTTATTTACTCTTTCCTTTCCCCTTCTAATTATTTTGAAACATTCCAGTAATCACAGCATTTCATTCCTAAGTAATTCAGAATATATCTTTAAAAATAAGAATTTAAGGAAATAAAAAGCAAAACTATATATTAGTTTCTCTTACAGGTAATGGTCTAACAACCTATTACTGCTTAATATAAATGCTCTTAACCTCTTTGATTAAGTTTTTTTTGTGTACATCAGTGTGTTTTCTAAGAAGAGGTACCTAATATATATCAGATGGAACATTTAATTTTTTTATATATATATATATATTTTTATTGATTTTGTACAGAGAGGAAGGGAGAGAGAGAGTTAGAAACATCGATGAGAGAGAGAGTCATCGATCAGCTGCCTCTTGCACATTCCCCACTGGGGATATGCCCGCAACCAAGGTACATGCCCTTGACCGGAATTGAACCCGGGACTCTTCAGTCCCTAAGCCGATGCTGTATCCATTGAGCCAAACCGGTTTCGGCTATTATTTTTTTCTTGAGTTCTTTCCTGTTAACTTTGGTCAGCAGTAAAAGTTGTTAGACCATTAAAAGATGGCAGAAAAACCAAATATGGGTGGCTGGGAGTTTTGAAATTATTTAAAGGATTGTTGTGTGTGTGTGTTTCAGGATGAAGAGACTCGGCACAGCCTTGAGTGCATCCAGGCCAATCAGATCTTTCCCAGGAAGCAGCTGATTCGGGAGGATGAGAATCTTCAGGTAAGAAGCCACTCTAGATCGAAAGTATTTAGTAGTGAGCTAATGGTTTGAAGTAATGTACTATGTAATATATATCCTTTTTCCTAAGCTATGCACATAGTAGAAATGCCGCTGGAAAACATCTTTCCTTTTAGAAAGACTTATTTCCTGAGAATGGACTGTTTGAGATGTTCATCTGTGTCATGCCTTCAGTAGTCTAGAATTGGAATAACTAGGTACATTCGAATTCTAAACCCAGTCCCTACTTATGTATTGTGTTCTAAGTGTGAGCAATAGAGGATGTTTCATCATCCATTTGTCTGACCTGTGTTTGAAGACTTTGATTTACTGCTTCCGAACTTTGAAGGGTTTCTGCTTCCATTTTGAAGGTTCCTTTCCTTGAACTTCACGGAGAAAGCACAGAGTATGTGGGCCGTGCTGAGGATGCCATCATTGCCCTTTCTAATTACAGACTTCATATCAAGTTCAAGGAATCTCTTGTTAATGTAAGTGATTACCAACTAAAGTAGATGGAGAAGGAAAGTAAGAAAACTGGTTAATGTTCTCAGCGAGAGGAGTGCTGTGCAGGGTTGGGTATGAACACACTGTCTGCTTTTCTCCCAGTTTAGCACCAGGGGACACTAGGTTAGCAAGCACTTGTAATGCTTGATTTAAAAGGATGCCCGTAGTTGTCCGCTGAGCTGTCCATTGGTTAGTATTACGGAATTGATTTGCCCTAGGTAATGCTGTATCATTAAGTTTTATAACGGTGCAAAAGCTGTAGACTTTCTTTCTTCAACCTTTAATAGCTAACTACTGCCTCAGTTGAGAGAATTTCTGGATCTTAATGTCAGTGAAGAATGTACTTAGAGCTCAGTGCAGACGGTCATAGGATGAAGTTAGTCTAATGGCTCCCTATGGTATAAGTGTTAAGTACAGTGTTTAATTATTTAATGGACTGTGTATTCCTGAAGAAAAGGAAGGCTCTCAATCCATGGAGTGCATTATCCTTGTTAGTTGTGAGGGTACTTTGAGTGACAGGTTCTTCTAGTACACTGCCTTTATTAATAGTTTCCAGTTAATGTGCCTTTCACCACAAAGGCACAACGTATGTGTACTCCAACCAAATGAATGCCGTCTTCCTTCTTCATTGGCCAGCATTGTGCCTTCCTGCACTTTGGTTCTAGCACAGAGAAGTGTATTATGACATCATTCAGATCCTGTGTTTTGAGGATCATTTGGGATTCTTTTATATCTGTCACTTAAGGTTTATTCTTTTCATTGACTCAAAAGTAACCCAATTCCTTCATCACATTTTTTTGGTTTGTGTGTGTGTCAAAAGGCTCAAATAGCTGCCATTTTCTTTATAGTCGGCATTTATTTTATTCTTTGTAGTTAAGCGTTTATATCCAGGAGCCATTTGGGCTACTATCATAGCTGTTACATAAGATTTCTGCTCGTCAGCTATTAATACACATTGGATTCATCAAGGAAAGGGGCATGCTGTGCTTTCATACCCTATGCACAGTTGTTAGAGGAGGGGACAGGATAGAAACTCTTAATATCTCTGCAACCAGAAATCCCCACCAGCTACTGTGAGAGTAATGAGAATAATACAGTAGTCCCCCACCACCTTTTGCTGTTCTGCTTTCTGCAGTTCCAGTTAGCCATGGTCAACTGTGGTCTGAAAATTCTAAATGGAAAACCCCAGAAATAAGCATTCATATGTTTTACTTGACTGGAGTGGCTCAGTTGGTTGAGCTTCGTCCTGTGCACCAAAAGGTTTGTGGTTCGATTCCCAGTCAGGGCACATACCTGAGTTTTGGGTTCCATCCCTGGTCAGGGCATGTATGAATGTACAAAAGGCAACCAATCTCTTTGTCCGTCTCTCTCTCTTTCTCTCCTCCCTCTCTCGTTTCCTCTCCCTCCACCTCTTATCTCTAAGCATGCCCTCGGGTGAGGATTAAAAACAATAATTCATCAGTTTTAGTGGCACACCATTCTGAGCAGTGTGATAAAATCTTATGCCATCGTAGATGGCCCTGGAGTGCAGGATAGTTATGCTGGCAATTGGGCATGCTTAGAGATAAGAGGTAGAGGGAATCAATGAAATTCTACTTAAATTCATGTGGGGATGATGCAGTTTCATATCATTGCGTTTTTCCATTCAGTCCCCTATTTCTCAGGTTGCTGGTTTATGGTCAGGTATGTTAGGGACTGTTTTTAGATCTATTCTGGAACAGGGTCTGTTGGAGAGAGCAGTATTTCTCTACTGCTTTTAAGATGGGGTCACTTAGCATGGTGTCAGGGAATTTGGTACTTGGTCCCCGTCTCTTTCCCCCTTTTCTCCCTTCTCCCCTTGGCGATAATAAAACGGGCATATCCTCCTTGGATTCTTCAGCTATAATCTCACACTCTGAGTTCTTTCTCTCCTCTCTGCCCAGGGAGCTCCCTTTCATCTTTTAAAACCCCAGTCAGGTGTTGAGTTCTGTGCTGTCTTTCTCAGTCCCAGCTCCTCCCTGGCAGGGAATTACACTCCTGGCTGCTTTTCTGTAGCCTGACCACACCTTTACAACCTTTACCAGATATGTGGAACTTTTTTGGTTACTCATCTTTATGTCTTCAGAATCCAGCCTATCTCCTGGTACCATCATATTCAGTAAATACAGTAGTGGGCAAAAGTAGATTTACAAATAATATGAATAAGTAATACAAAAATAAATAATAGTATAATAATAAACTGTTCTGTGGACTGACAAATGTAAACCTACTTTGCCCACCCCTCTGTTATGTGAATTAAACTTGATATTGGCTTGAAATGGCTATAAGACCATTTTAAACTCTTTGTAGATTTGAAGCTCATTTTAAAACAATAGGCCCATGTCAGTGTCTCTAAGGGTAGCTGTATAAGCCCATGATAGGCCCATGTCAGTGTCTCTAAGGGTAGCTGTATAAGTGGATTGTTTATTGTAAATGTTGGTCCCTCTTTGTGACTGAAAGATAGGCTTATGAGATTTACCAATGTACATACTTTTGACCTATTTTCTCACCTAAAAGTGTTTTCTCAGATAGCATTATAACCCTCTAAGGCATAGAGCCTGTATGTGACTTAAAAAGCCCATTATAATGGCTGCCTAGGAAAATGATTGGGCAGAAGTATTTTGGTATTGCAGTGACTTTACATACTTCAGATTGAAAGAGACTATGACTTCTCCATACAAATAAGTTACTTGCATCACAGCTCGTGCTAAGGTCCCTAAAACCTGTGGTTACTCCAGGAAACAGTGGCTCCTCCTGCGAGGTGCTGGTTGGAGACTAGCGAGGTGGTGGTTGCCTCCCTCCCTTTCTTTCTCCCTCAGCAGATACATATTTCACTCAAATATGTGAGATCCAGAGACTCCCTTTGAAGGTTATTCAAACACATTTCAACTATCAAAGCCCAAAATGTGCCAGTCTATATTGAGGCATGCCCCAGTTTGCATCATTTTGTATGTTTTTAAATTGGTGTATTTAGTACTTTAGAAATAAAAAATAATTTACTATCAGGTTTTAAACAGCAACCTGATATATATACTTAAAAAGTTTTTTATTGTGGTAAAAATTAGTATACAAAATTACATATTTGATAGGTGTACAACATTGTAATTCAATAGTTGTATATGCTACACCACTGTAAATCTAGTTGTTATTCATCACATAATTCTCTTTCAACTTCATAGCACATTGAGTAAACGCCAGAAGTATTGTGTACTGTGACACACACACATTCACTGGATGCCCAGTTTTAAATTTCTGGGTAAAGAACCTCTGTAGTAGAGTTAATCGGTAGCATTTAAGGTATGAATTGCCCCCATTCTGTGCTTTGCCCAAACTTTTCACATATGTATAAATATTTCTTTGATGCTCAGCTAATTTATAAACAAATAAGTGTTCAAGTCGAATTTATGAAAGTCTAAAACAATTTTTGTGTAATTCATTAGACTGCCTCTAAATCTGCTGCTTCTGAAGTCCCAGTAAGTAGCATGAGAAACCTAGGCGAGGTTTGCACATGTGCCTGAAACAACTTGGTTTTGAATGTCAGATGCTCACCTTGCAAGTCAGCAAAATGCGTCCATTCTGCATGACTCTCCTCCCTCTTTCCAGGCAGTGTCCTATGGGCATTCTATCATGAGAACAATTTGGGGGGGGGGGGAGGATAAAGCCCCACAGCTTGTACATGGATGGAATTGACCTTCAAAAAATGAAAACCAAATTTCAACTAGAAATTTTTGTAAAATCAACACCAGTATTTAAAAGGACATTAAGTTTCTGTTTCTAGGATGTCCTAATGCTTCTGAGGAAAAGGTCGAGTGTAGCAGCTGGAAATGCCTTTCTTAGCATTCCCCCCCCCCCGCCCCCCCATTTTTTATTGTCTGACTGTAGTTCATCAAAAATTTTTCTTCTCCAAACATCAAGAAGAGATTATTATTAACACTTAGTACACTTTGGCCTTAGCATTCATCTGTCAGCAGAGGCATCTGGCACCAGTGCTGGAAGAGCAGCTTATAAATATCACAGGAGAGCAGTAAAAAGTTCGTGTCTTTAGCGTGTGACACAGACTTTTAGGACTGGTTTTTAAAGGATAAGATTTGGTGCCTGGATATTTCACACTTTATTACAGGTTTTAGGTTTAGAATCATAGCTTTATTTTCACTTAGTTACTGTCATTTTTACTTCAAACGTACATACGAGATTAGTACTTCCCATCCAGGCTGTAAGGGGGCATTTGTTTTTAAAAGGCAGGAATTATCCCTTTTTAAATTCTGGTGCTCAAAAACAGTACACCTGTGCCCGTGAGTGCGTGCGCACATCCGAGTGGGACAGCACCGTGGGTCTTTACAGCCCTGCATGTCTGCTCCCTGCTGCTTTGGCTTGGCCTCTCAGGAGTTTTGGTGTTCATGATGTAACTCCTGGCCTTTTGAGAAATCGATTAACAGCACTTGGTGTGTTTGATGCATTGGTTTGAGCATGAGTTTGGTGAAATTCATAAGAGGAAGAGCACTGTAAAGGGAGATAGAATTGCCTAGCTAGACGACAGAGGGAAAAATAACAAAAAGAAAATTAATTGCTCTAAAACATTTGAATAGGGGAGTGGGAGAGGATTTGAAAGATGACTTTAGATTTCTCACTGCTCTTCCACATGCACAATTGCCTCTGAGGAATCTTGGTTTAGATTCTATTTTCCTCTTGAAGATCCCTGAGTTGAGAAAGAACACTAAAGCAGAGCACATACAGAAGGGAAGTGCAGTCTTGAAGGAAGAAACCTGCATCATGTACATATTACAGGAGCCGGACTGGAGGACTGACGTGGATTACTGTCCTGAGTTTGTCACCAGCTTACAGTGTAGGGGCAAACCTTCCTGGGCTGTACAATAGTCTGGGTCTTGAATCTGTGATTGTTTGCCTATGAGATTGGAGAGTGGGTTTGTTTAGTTAACAGAACTGGTGAGGAAAATTGGGGAAAGTTGAGAAATGGAAAGCGATGTCGTAGGCCTTAAAAAAATGCAGAGAAATTAGAATGTTTGGTTGGGGAAATGAAGAGGAAAAGGCCAGTTGTGTCTTTTTAGAAGAGGAAGCATTCTGGGGAGGAACAGTGAAGATGGGAAGTGAGGTAGGAAGTAGAAGAAAAAAGGAATATGCTCATTTGATAAAACATCTGGTATTTTTCTTCTATATGTTCCTGTACCTGCTGCATATCAAACTTCACTGCATGTAACTATCTGCATGAGTCTGAAAATCTGCTGTTTATAGTTCTATGACAGAACGAGTGGTATACACTGGTGTTTCCAGTATCTGCATATTAGCAACCAGCATCTTTATCCTTTTCTTCAAATTTGTGATGTTTACATGAACATTTATGTAACAAATGCATTTTAGGTAGCACATTTTTTACGTGCTCTGAGATGTAACATTCTGGAAGTCTGGGCATAGGCCTTGGGCTCTGGCCCAATAGGAGGGATGTAAAACTTATCTGTTCTTTGTGTCTTAAGTAGCACAGGCTGGCGTCCACGCTCGAGAGCGACTGCTCAGAGCATTCCATGGTTTGACCGAAGGGGACCTGGGGGCAGGGAGCTGCTGAGATAGCAGCCTCTGACTTGGGTTTGGGAAGCTCACTCTCACTGCAGAGGGAGAGGGGGGGCACCTAAAGGAGGGAAACAATGACAGTCTGTCACCGAGGACTGTCCTGAGAATGAATCCGCGTTCTCTTCTCAATCGCACATTCCTCCTTCGCAGTTTATTCCTACTAATACATTGTTACTGTTGTTTTCCTCCTTAGATGTACAGGTCTTGAGAGAATTTTTAGCTGTATCAGCTCCAGTTTCTCACGGCACCTTGGGGTTAAGGACTCAAAAACCCGAGGGCCAGTGCTGCTTTTGTTCTCAGTACACAGGCAAGATTCATAGTCCCTCTCTTACTCCCAGTCCGATTACAAGTGTAAGCAAAACTTAGACCTAAGCAAGCAGGCCCTGGTCTTCAGTAGAAACTCCCGGCCAGTATCTGAATATTACTATTTTGCTTTCTTCTCTTTTTTAAATCCCTGCCCCAGTTTCTGTTTCTTTGTCCTAGACGTTCAGCACGGGCTTTTTATTTTATCCCCACGTCCTTGCTCTAAGAGTTCTCTGATGATTTTGGCAACTTCATGGTAGGATAGGGTTTTGGAAAAGGCTCAGCGAACATGAGGGCCACCTGCAGCCACATTCCCCTGTCCGTGTCTGTGTCTGGGTCGGAGGAGACTGCCTCCCTCTTTTAGCGAAACAAGAATTGTTTGAATGCTGCCTGCACCTCCTGAGCCGTATAGTGGTCTGACCTTTTCCAAGAAGAGCGTCCACTAGCTTTTCAGGCTTTCTTTAGAAAATTGCTTTTTGAAGCCAGGTGTTGAGTCAGGATGAGTCTCATGTGAACTTGAGGATTTGTCACCGTGTCCATGTGCTCTCCCATCCTGCTCCATTCTTTTACTTTTTACTGTTGTATTTACTCCTGTTCATTCAGTAGAGTCTGCTGACCTGATTGGCAGGAAGAAAACCATTCTAGCTTGCTCATATCTCAAGTCCCACTTGGCAAACAGGGCTGGCTCCTCACCGGGTCTTTTAAAACAAATTAGACCTCGCGAGTTTAGGACCTTCGCCCACTGAGCGGGCTGCTCCTTCCTTGAGGGCTGTGGGTCTGTTTTCCTGAGCAGAACGCCTGACCAGCACCTACCGCCCTGTCGTCTTGTCTTTGCAGCCTGCAGGCAGTTTGGACTGGTCTTTTTTAGGGTGCTCCTCTGCTGACTGACACAAAGCCACAAGCTCACTTTATGACAAGTGGTTTCACTAGCACTTTGATCTACAGTCTTTTCTGTAAACAAGACAGGATTACTCTTCTGATTCCCTTCAGCCTCCGTGTCATTACAAATCACCATTGGCCATGGCTCCTCAGGCAGTACTGCGTGCTGAGCCTGTGAGCTTGGTGCTGAGAGAGGACATATTTCCCCATTCTTCAGGGGTGGCTTCTCCTCCTCATGCCTTGTGTTTTTGATTTGGAGATAAAGGAAAGCCCCAATTCACGCAGTAGTAAAGCACCGGAGTGCTAGTGATCCTCCTCTAAGTCCGCGGTTCTGTTTGCGCCTTTCCCTGGTGGAGTTTCTAATCACGCTTGTTGGACACGGGGAAGAACTGCAGGGTCAGTGCCTTTTTCACTAAGGGGACTTTATCTCTTTCACTTGCAGGTTCCGTTACAGCTTATAGAAAGTGTTGAATGCCGAGATATATTTCAGCTTCATTTGACTTGCAAAGACTGCAAAGTTATCAGGTATGTGGCGTGTTTATGCTGCTGTTTAGTGTGGAAAAGACTTTTTAGAGAATAGATTCAGGGTTTGTTAACAGAAAAAGAGCTTTTGAGGATCAGCCTTGTGGGAATATTTTTCTGAGTAGTTAGTGTCTGAAATATTGTAGGTTACTTTGCTATTTGAAAGGTATTTTTAAATTTATTGAGGAATATTTTCAAATTTACAAAAAATGCAAAAATAAAAATAGTACAAAGAACACCTGTATTGTTAACATTTTACCCCATTTGCTCTATCATTTGCAGGGACTGTGTGTGTGTGTGTGTGTGTGTGTGTGTGTGTGTGAGAGAGAGAGTGAGAGAGAGAGAGAGAGAGAGAGAGAGAGATTCCTTTACTGAATAATTTGAAAGTAAGTTAATATAATCATGGCTCTTCATCTTGAAATGCTTCTGCGTGCTTTCCTAAAAATAGGGATATAACATAATCACAGTATCGTTATCAACTTCACTATTTTACACTCACAGTACTTTTATCCAATCTACAATCCATATTCTAAATTTGTTAGTTGATGTAATAATGCCCTTTGCAGCACTGCCCCTTCTCCACTGGCTCAGAACAGGATCCAGTCAAGGTCAGGCAGTACACATGGCTGGCATGATTCTATAGCCTTTAATCGGGATGTTTTTCACCGCCTTTGTCTTTATGACATTCTTTGTCTTTATGACATTTTGAAGAACACTGTCTTTGTATAGACTGTTATTTTGTGTCTGTCCAGTGTTTCCTCATGATTAAATTGAGGTTATACATTCTCAGCTGTTACACTATACCTGTGAGGTTGTGTTCTTTTCAGGGTATTGTATTACGTCTGGAGGCAAACAGTATCCACCTGTCCCTTATTGGTGATGTTAATTTTGATCACTCTATTAAGGTGTCACCATAATCTCTAAACTTCCTCCCTTGCAACTAATACTAGTCTACGGGAGGCTAGTATTTAGACTTTAAGACTGTAGATTCTTGTTTCTCACCAAATTTCCCCAAAGATTTAACATCCATTAATGTTTTTACTTGATCTAATCTTGACTATAATGGTTGCAAAATGATGCCTGAAATACCTTTTTAAATTTAGTAGCTCTGCAAGTTTTAAATTCCCCAAGTTTTGACTTTATCTCTCTGACCTGTTCCGGAGTGCCAGTAACATTGTGTGCTGGCATGCTGATGAGCCACGTTGATTGGGACAAGGGAGAGGTTTAATTGACCTTCTTGGTTTGAAGGTAAATATGTACAGTTGTCTTTTCACCACTGTCACCACTGAGATTTGGCTTGCCTTCCATAGATACTGGCTATAACTCACAGTTTAAAGAGCTTGCTTATTAGTTACTTGATTTTAAACACTGCATCTGAAAAGGTCAAGTCTTTTTACACTATTTTAACCTCTTAGTTATACATTCTGAAAGTTGCAATTGATAATAAAATTTTGTTCCCTACACGGTAATAGCTGAAGACTGTAATGTAATATATCTTATTTTGGATATAAAGTTGCTGATTTATTCTAATTGCTAAATAGACAAGTTTTGAAATTATTACCTAAGTAGCAAAAAGTATAGCTGTGAGTTGAGCTCAGCCTAACATATCATAACAAAATAAAAGGACTTCTCTAAACCTATTTCTTGGGAGGGACAACTATAAAGCTTTGATAGAAGAAATAGAATGAAATTCCACTCATGGAAGAGAATGGCTGCCATTTTACTTTAATAATAAGTTTCCCGTATGTTCAGCTTTCTTCTGACATTTATACTATTGACTAAAATTTGTTGGCCTATTTTTATTATAAATGATAAACATGTGAATGACCACTTCTAATGCTTTTTTGACTGTAGGTGATAACTACAGTCATTATGAGTAGGCACTCTTAAAATTTGTCTTTTCTTAGTATTTATTGTGATCTGTCTTCTGATTACATCCTGTACTTGTTTCGCTTACAAAGGTGTCAGTTTTCAACTTTTGAGCAATGTCAAGAGTGGCTTAAGAGACTGAACAATGCAATCCGACCACCTGCTAAAATAGAAGATCTCTTCTCATTTGCATACCATGCTTGGTGCATGGAGGTTTATGCCAGTGAAAAAGAGCAACACGGAGACCTGTGCAGACCAGGTAGGCCTTGCTAAAATATGCAAATAGCGGCTTTATGGACTGCTACTTGAGGTACCCTTAACATGAAACAGGACTCCTCAGTGGTCATATAGTCACTCAATGTACATTTTATGTAGCACTTAGCATGTGCCCATCATTCTTATAAGCTGAGTAGAACACATTTCCTGCCTTTCAGGGGAAGGAAAGAACAGAAGATTTGGCATCACAATCTACTCGGCTTAAAACCAACTGTACAGTAAGATTTGAGGGTGATACAGTAAGATTTGAGGGTGATACAGTAAGATTTGAGGGTGATTTGGAAGCCTAGTAGCATGGAGCCATGAGTATTGTATGCAGGTCGGAGAAGACCTCACGTCTGTGGTGGCTTTTGAGTAGGCTTTGAAGGTCGAGTGAGAGTTCATTGATTAGAGAATTGATTAGTTCATTGATTAGAGTTCATTGATTAGAGAATGATAGAGCAAGTAGCATGAACAAAGGTACAGGAGTGTGAGATTAGGCCATATAGTAGGGGAATGTAAAGACAGTATTTCAATAGCTTTGAATCTTCGGGCCGCAGGTACCTGTTGTCACCCCTTTCACCGGGAGATGGTGAAACAAAGGTCCAGAGACCAGGTGGCTTCCTTCAGGACAAAGAGAGACGCTGAGCCTGGACTGAAACGCAGACTTGCTGACTCCTCATTAAATCTCTGTTGCATTTACTATCTTTCTCCCTCAGAAATGGCTTTGACTGAGCTACTGTTAATTCTCCATGGAGTTGTCAGTGAACTTGATGTTGCTATAAATATAACTTTTCTGGTCCAACATGAAGTCTTTTAGTGTATCCTGTTTGGGAGCAAAATCTTGAATTCCTAATCAGTGAAGAGTTGAGTTTTCTTCCAATAAAGCTTACTCTTAGGATTTCTTTTTTCCTTTAAATCTCAGTTTTTAATCACAATCTTAATTCTGCCCTGGCTCATTTTAAACATTTGAGGCTAGTCTAGCTATGTGCATTGTTTTTGTTTTTGGCTTATTCACTGATTGAAGTTTTTGGTTTACATTCTTGTTAAAATAAAATATAATAACAAACATAAGCATCATCTTATTTTTAAAGACGCTTTGATATGTATTTTTGTTTGGCCCTTATGATCTGCTCAGACAGGCAGGATAGGCTGGCATTTTTGTTTTGGGAGCTAATGATGAAACTCAGACAATGCCTGCTGTCAGATCCCACTGGTAGGTACTGACAGCGCTAGAACTTAAACCCAGTTGTCAGCTATTGAGAACTGACTATGCGGGGTGCTGTGGGTACAGATGGAGAACAGCCCCCTGCCCTTGTTGAGCCTAAAGGAAAGCCTCAGGAATTTAAGCTTCCCACAAGTCTGGTCAAGGCCAGTGGAATCCAAAGTCAGCAGCAAGAGACCACACCAACCTTGGAGGTTATGAGAATGTGCTTTTAAACCGTCTCACTTCACTCCCTTATCCGTTGCATCCCTCTTTTTCCTTTTTCTTCTCTATTGAGATATCGTTGTATTTTTTTGTTTTGTTTCTTTGTTTCTGGTTCTTTTCAGGTTTTTGTTAAAGTTTATACACAATGAAATGCAAAAATCTTATGTGTACATTTGATTGAAGACTAACTCCAAAGGCATTCTCCTAGTTTGGGATTGGCGGCATTTAATTAACAAAGCTTGCTTGCTCCTTCCTGAAACTGACATTTCCTCATCTTTTTACACAATTTCTTATTCCCTTGATAATTTTATTCTTTTGGACTTGAGCCAACTCTTAGGATACTCCTAAGATATGCCAGGTCAGAGCTTGGCTGTGGTCTTTTACTGGTGGATGGCTTTGTCCGAGCTGGGATGTCTGGTCCTCAGGTCCTTCCTTTCTGATGTTATTTTGTGTTCTTTGATCACCAGGCCTTACGGATGTCCATGGTGTCCTCTGTCTTTCATGGACTTGTGATGGGTAGAGGCATTTGGTGGGGAAAGTACTAGACTTAGGAATTAGAAAAGCTGATATAAAACCTGTACTCTACTATTTAATTCAAAAAAATAATACTGGGCAAGCCATTTATCCTCTCTGCACTTCAGTTTCCTTTGTTCTTCGGACTGGGCCCACCTTCTTCCTGCCCAAGCTGTTCTGAGCATCCTGAGGGTTATGCTAGAGCTCAGTTCAGTAAATGTGTGTGTACCTCCTACGTGCCTTGCTTGTAAAAACATTTTGGGAATTATGAATATACAAGGTGATGCTGGACTGTTGTAACAAATTGGTTTGAACTTCTCTATAAGTAAAGGTTATATTTTGTTTCCTCCCAGTATGTACAGTCCACACAACTATTAACTTGCAGGGCCTGTTTATATTCTTGATGGTCACTGTTCCATGCAATCTGTAGACAGATGGCTCCCCAATTCAGATAGCTTTTTTCCTATTTAGAAGTCTATATCATTTTCTAAAATAATAGATTCAGCTGGTTTTTCCTGCATTTCTGAGCCTGGTCTTTTTATAGCTTTCCTTCAGGAGACATGTAATACCTACTTAAGTTTAAGCTCAAGAAAAGCAATTTTAAATGGGAAGTGGTTTTATAGAATTGTTCTTCATTCCAGTAATTGCTGTTTCCTATTTTTGAAGCTCTTCTCCCAGGGAGAGCAAAGCTTTATACTTTGATCATCAAAGCAGTCTTGTGCTTCTTTTGTGCTTCTATTATTGTAGCTTCTCCTGCTTAATGATTTTTTTAAATAAAATTACTGCCTTAGGACTCTGAGTTTTAAAGGAAGAAAGTTATTTCAGATTTAATGACTTTTATATTAGGTTCATTAATGTCTTTGTTTCTCACTGTCTTCAGGAAGAGAAAGCCAAATCCAGCAGGGCATGTGTAGACGGGTTACATATGTTTGGGTGGCTGTTCTTACAACGCTGAGCACTTCACTTGGTGCTGTGGTGTTTCTGAGATTCCTGGGTACTGGCGATTACAGTTCTGTTTTCTTTTATCTGTAATTCTGTAATCTATAAGGCTCTAAAAATTGAATGATTTTTCTTATTTTATTTGGTGGCTTGAACTGATCTGAAATTATTTACTTTATCTCAGTATGATGCTCTATGCATTTCGTTGTAGAAATACTAATGTTTGATTAAGTAGACCCTGTTTAGAGTGTTGATGCTCAACCACTGAGTCACACTGGCCCAGCCTGGCCCAAAGGGTTTCTGATGAGTTGTAGATCTGTGTTACTATTTTTAGTGAGCTGTTGATGTTATTCTTATGTATACCGTCTCTGAGTGTGGAAGTGGATTAGCAGTCAGAATAATGGTAAGAACATGGGTTTTGGGACCAGATGGACCTGTCATAATAACCTCTCTCAAGTTTCTGTTTTGTCTTCTGTAAAATGAGCTGATGATAACTATCCTCAGACTTGATAGTAGTAATTAGGTCACATACCACACTTTTTGATTAAAATTAATGTCTTTATTCCTCAATTCAGTCTTATCCTGACAGGTTTGGGTTTTTTTTAACACTAAAACCAATATCTGCTGTTTTATTTATACATGTCGATCCCCTGTGGCGAAGGGTAGCTACACTTCTATTCTGCCTGTTTTGCAAAGTGGTATTCATTTCCTTTTCCTGCTGTCTTTGGTTTCTAGGGGAACACGTAACATCGAGGTTTAAAAATGAAGTGGAGCGGATGGGTTTTGATATGATCAATGCCTGGAGGATTTCCAACATCAATGAGAAGTACAAGTGAGTTGTATGGGTCCCTGTGGACTGTTTCACAGCCATTGCCTTTGCAAAACCCCATTTCTCATGTGGCAGAGCATTTGAACTTAAACTTTTTCTTTCAAATGATGTTTATTTATTAAATCAAAATGCGTGATTTTCAGAGTTCTTTAGTTTTCTGTTCCCATTGCTATTACTGAAGTGGAAAGTGATTCTTAATAGGATTCTGGAACCTTCCTTTCCACCCTCTCCAGGTCTCTGTGCTTCTTGGCACAGGCATATCTAGATAACACTGCTTATGAGTAGGCTGTTCTCATCACCATTTGACAGCACGTTAGAGATCGGATCAGTGGTCTCATATGCAGAGATAAAACACTGAGGAGTAGTCTTTATGACTAATTTTACTCCACATTCTATGAGATAGACATAAGTATTCTGTTACTTAATATATGTATCGATCTAAAACTGACTTCATGGCTGTGATAACATTTAACCACTAAGTATTAATGTTACTATTATTAAATATTTTCAATACCTGTTTCCTTAAAAGATATACATACTTTGCTGAAACCGGTTTGGCTCAATGGATAGAGCGTCGGCTTGGGGACTGAAAGGTCCCGGGTTTGATTCCGGTCAGGGGCATGTACGTTGGTTGCGGGCACATCCCCAGTAGGGGGTGTGCAAGAGGCAGCTGGTCAATGTTTCTCTCTCATTGATGTTTCAAGCTCTCTATCCCTCTCTCCTCCTCTCTGTAAAAAATCAATTAAAAAAAAAAATATATATATATATATATATTTTTTTTTAAAGATATACATACTTTGGCAGGGGAGGTCAGTTAACTTACGTGATATTTTTTAGCTAAATTTCTCTAAAACAAAAGAGAACTGTCTAGGATATTTAAATTAATATATAATTCTCTTAAGTTTTCCTATAGCAAATAGTTATACTGTTGTCCTTTGAGCTGCCTCAAATTATGATAGCAGTTTTCCTGGAATATTTGTGGCTAGCCATCAGAGCATTTCGTTTTTGTTTTTTGTTCTTTTTAAATATATTTTATTGATATTTTTACAGAGAGGAAGGGAGAGAGATAGAGTCAGAAACATCAATGAGAGAGATACATGGATCAGCTGCCTCCTGCACACCCCCCACCGGGGATGTGCCCACAACCAAGACACATGCCCTTGACCAGAATCGAGCCCAGGATCTTTCAGTCCGCAGGCCAACGCTCTATCCACTGAGCCAAACCGGTTTCGGGGAGCATTTCATTTTTTTTATAGGGAAAACTATAGCTAATTACTGTACATAGCTCTTAACATGGACCATGGCCAAGAAATTAAGAACCTGGGGTGCTGTGAAGAATTGGGAGCTACAGATCTGTCATACTTAGCACATGTCAGGGATAAATCAAAGTAGAGAGCGGAAGTGAACACGAGAGGAGGGGCTTCAGAGCCTGCGGCAGCTAGCTTCTCTCTTCTGGGACTCACCTTTCCTCCGGGAAGCCGCTTCTTGTGCAGGAGCCCTAGGACTTGCTGACGCGCTGGCTGCGAGGTGTGTGATACAGTATGTGTATAGGTCAGGGACATAATGACCAGAAAACAGAGGGAAATAAAAAGACCTGCGAATTAAACAAACCTTATTGAAAATTGAGTTCAAAAGCCATTGGTTTTCAAAAATTCCTATTTTTATACAGGTTTTAAAAATACTTCTTATCTGTGAGTTTTCCTACTATAAAAATATACCTTTAAACTTAAAGGAGATAAAATGAATAATAATTATTAACTATGTGTACCAGGTTATTTTTAGGTGTTTGTGGGTAGCTGCCAGGAAGTTTATAGAGCTACTCTTGGACATAGACGTTCTCCTGGTTCAGTGGCTTTTACATTCTTAATACGTAATCTTGTGGAAACTGAGAACAGGAGAGATTTAGTGCAGAATGTTCAAAACCCCCCAGTTCCTAAGCCACTTCGTGTTTTTTTCTGCTTTTTTCTGTAATGCATCGGATAGTTTAGGGCAGGGTGGTGGTGGTGGTGGTGTAGGTGTAGATGTAGGTGTAGTAGTAGGAATAGTAGTAATATGTGTATTTTAGGATTTGGATGAAAGGTCTTAATTACACTCACTGTTGAAAAAGGCATTTTGGGTTACCCATGGAGAGATGGCAGATTTCCTATAAAAACCTCTCAGATATACTACTTCCTAAGGCACCAGCTTGCCTAGCATGCAGTTGCTAGCATCTTCATGAATGAAAACAATGTTTCCCCCCTCTGAGTATAGTTTGTTATGAAGTGTATTTTATAGAAGTTATCATTCATAGCTTGTTCTCATTACTGACTTGGCTAAATGGGACTACGGTTATATATGCAAATAGACTAACCTGTGGTACTATTTGTACATACCCTTTGCTTCATTTGTTACCTTTAATTAGGACATCCTGTTTGGTTCATATCAAAGAATCCATTAACAATCCTATGATGTTTCTGGAAACTTGAAATTGTGGGCTCTTGGCATTTTTTTGTTTCACTTTGACAGAAGCCTGAAAGACTGAGGGGTCTGGTAGAGGTAACGCAGACTTCCGCTTCTGTAGTGGGCTGGGCGCTTGTGTGTTAGAAATGGCCTGTGTATCTCTTACAGCGGAGAGTTACAGTGGAGTAACTGCCTCTCAACTCCCCTTGTTTCCGTGGATAGTTAAGACTGCAGGTCCCCAAAAGGCAGCATCAAGGGAACAATCCATATATATAGTGCGTATATATGCAAGCACTGAGGCAGCCCATTCTGCCGAGGAGGCCAAGCCTCAAGCAGTGCTCCTCACTGCCTTTACCTGACTCTGGGGTAGCTTGATCAACATTCTGCTGCTGCTTCACCTGATGTCTCTCCCTCCTTCTCTCCTTCCTGTCAGGCTGTGCGGTAGCTATCCACAGGAACTCATCGTGCCTGCCTGGATCACGGACAAAGAACTGGAAAGTGTAGCAGGCTTCAGGTCCTGGAAGCGCATCCCTGCCGTCATTTACAGGTGAGCAAGCAGCAGCTGCTGCCCCTGAGGCCATGCACCTGGGGGGGAGGGTGTGGGGGTAGGGGAGGGGAGGGGCGGGGCTTCAGGAAACTCTGCTGCCTTATGCAGGACTTATCCTGGAAGGCAGAGATTGCTCTCACAGGAAGAGGGTGCAGGGTACGAAGGGCACGCCCTCTGTAGTGCAATCCCCAGCTCCCCTCTTTGTTCATTGAATGATTTAGAAAATTCTGGACATTTTGGAAGTTTGCCTGATACCAGTTTAGGGATAGTTTAAACATTTCATTGTTTAACTTGTATATTTTTTATGTTCTGTTTGTGAAAATGATAGAAATGCTCTTCAGTGATTTCTAGCGTTAGTGCGTTAGTTCTTTCATGCAGCGAAAGCACTTTACAGGACTGCGGAAAACGCCCGCGCAGCCTCAGTACTGTAAAGCCACAGCCGTTAATGGGTGAAGAGTGCCACCTGCCGTTCCTCCTGGGCACTCCTGGGCAGCATTGCAGATAGAGGGTTCAGGAAAGGTCCCGCCAAGCCTCTTGCTAGAGGTTTGGCATCCCGCAGCTCATTGGTTACCCAGCACCTGCTCTATGCTAGGAGGCGTTTTAAGAATCAGGGAGGTGTGGTTTTCAGTTTGGCTTCATGCAGGTGAGCCAGTTGAGTGTGTTGGAAATACGCAACTACTTGTCTTCCAGTAAGGGAGGATTTAAAAACTACAAACAAACTGGTGGCTCCAGTGAAATTTGATTATTACCAAATTCAATGTATTGCTTTTGAGCTTTAGGATTAAAAACAAAAATCTTTTCTCACATCATTCCTTGAAGAAGGCAAATGGATTCAAAAGTATGTGTTGCTTAAATCCATATTTGCTATACATAATGTGTTAATGTGTGTATGCATATACGTGTTTAGAAACAAATTTTTTAAATACATTTTTTAAATTGATTTCAGAGAGGAAGGGAGAGAGGGAGAGAAAGCATTGATTGGCTGCCTCCTGCACGCCCCCCCCCCCCACAATGCCCTTGACCAGAATCGAATCTGGGACCCTTCAGTCCATAGGCCAACGCTCTATCCACTGAGCCAAGCCAGCAAGGGCTAGAGACAAGTTTAATGCACCATCAATTTTTCAGGTGCAGAGATAAGAAGGAGAGAACAATGCTTCATTACTGATTAGGAGAATCATTGTAGTATCTGTAGATTATTTTTTAACCCTATTTTCCAAAAATAAATTTAAAGATACAGATATTTGCTTTATGCACATTCATTTGTTTCCTCTAAGAAGGTACATTTATTATTTTGTTGGTAACTCTACAAAGATCTCTAAAATGGTATGGTAATTGAGAAAAGTCTAGGTAGGTTTGTTGGTTTTGTTGTGATATAAGATTTCTGCCCCAGAGGACTTGAAGCTAATGCATCTTTTCCCCATAGTTCGGCAGTTCTTTAAGGCGTTTAAAACCACCTCACTTTTGGTATAGCACAGAGCACCTGAATGGTGCCTTTGGCTGGTACAGTTGTCGTCTTGTTCCCTGCACAGGCACCAGAGCAATGGAGCCGTCATTGCCCGCTGTGGGCAGCCGGAGGTCAGCTGGTGGGGCTGGCGAAATGCTGACGATGAGCACCTGGTGCAGTCAGTAGCCAAAGCTTGTGCCTCCAACTCCCGATCGAGCGGCAGCAAGCTGACAACGAGGAGCGGTGCTCGGGACTTCCCCAACGCAGGAGACCTCTCCGATGCGGAGTTCGGTAAGGTGCTTCCTGGGCCCCGGCAGCCGTTTTCATAGCACCCGAGGACCTTTCCTTATCACACACAGAATGTGTTGCATGGAAAAGAGCAAAGCTTCCATTGATGGGATTGGTTTGAGGACTCATGGGTCTGGCAATAAATGAGAAGCCCCCTATTTCAAACTTGGTTTAAGAGGACTAAAGTGGCGTGTGTGTTTGTTTTTGGGGGGTCTTTCTTGTCATAGTAACAAGAATGGGATACATACGTGGTAGGGAACTGCAGTTTCTCCAGGCCATGAAAGGACTGCCATTGCAGAAACAAGGTCTAGGAGCTTATAAGCAAAACAGATAACAAAAAGAAGTGTATGTGCCAAGAGTTCTAGCTGGGGATTTAGCTTAATTCTAGTTTATTTTTATGTACTATAATATGTGTCTGGAGTTCTTATTTGCACAATTCTGGAGGGACAGGTTCATTTATTTTTCCTCCCCACTCCCGATGTTCCTAGATTCTTCTCTGTCTCATGCCTCAGGAGCAGAGAGCCTCGCCATCCAGCCGCAGAAGCTCCTGATCTTGGATGCGCGTTCCTATGCTGCGGCGGTTGCAAACAGAGCCAAGGGAGGAGGCTGTGAGTGCCCAGGTGAGCCGGATGGGGCTTTGTCCCAGCATCCTCTCCTCTGAGCCAGCCTGGGCCCCGCTGGGTCTGTCTTCCTTATGAAATGAAAGGCAGCCATGTTCCCCGGTCCATCTTGAGAGAGGCAGGGCTCTGGATTCTTACCACTCTGCTCTTCATGGGCGAAGAGGAAGAAGAGGTACAGTGAAACCAAACAGTCCTCCTTCCTGTGCCAGCCTGTAGGTGATCGGGAAAATCAGTCCTCTCCCGATAAGGTCTGTTCTTATTGGGAAGCAGCGGCTTCAGATGCTCAGTTTCTCAGCTGTCCAGGACCTTTGTGTTGCCTTTGACAAGTGGGCATGCTCGCTTGTCTTATAGAAACTCCTCACATGGCTTCCGCTTAGAAAACCTGGCGTGGCAATGGAAGCAGTAAATACAGAACTAGCAAAGTGCTTCTCCTAACCTCTGACATGCCCGCTGCTTGAATGCTGCTTTCTCCAGAGAAGGAACCCTTGGGTGCCACTTGTGTGCCGATGGAGAAAGTTGAGGCACCGAACTCCTTATTCAGATGGGATCTAAGCTGAAAATTAACAGCAGTGGTGCCAAGGTGAAATGTGAATGCAGAAATGCATTGTTCTGCCAGATTTATTCAGAGATTCCAGAGCTACAAGTTAGCGGAGGCCCAAGAAGTAAACCTGGAGTGAGATGGGTCTTTTTATTTTCATTATTAATGTTTTTTAAGTAACAGCTTCTATTTTATGTCAGCATCTTCACAAATCTAACCTTCCTTTTTGCAAAAACAGGTACAATTTCAAGCACTGTTTTCCGCTCATTATAAAGGACTGAGCTGACACAGGCTTCAAAGCGCTGCAGTGCCATTAGAGCTGCAGGGGTGGTTTATTGCCGTTTTGCTTCTCTTGAATTTGGCCGCGTGGGCGTTAAATTTAACGTATTTGTATTCTGCTTACTGTTTTTCTCCCCAGAGTATTACCCCAACTGTGAAGTTGTGTTTATGGGGATGGCAAATATTCACTCCATTCGGAGGAGTTTCCAGTCTCTGCGGCTGCTGTGCACACAGATGCCAGATCCGGGAAAGTAAGACCTTGGCCTTGGCTCTAATTTTGCATTGCCTCCCCTCCCCCTCCCCCCCAAGTGAGTTCAGAGGTTCCTTCTCTTTCTTGATAAACTTCAGTTTTACTGTCCGTCTCTGGGGGTATTCTTCAGTGTTAGGAGAATATAAATGAAGCTCTGGGATTAAAATGTAGCTTTTTGGAAGGTTTAACATGTGCAGCACGTAACAGACGGAGGCCCTCAAAAGGCAAGTATTGCTTGCTTGTTTTTTTTCCCCCCCTGAAAATTCTTCTTTTCTACATTTGCTTTTGGCCAAAAGAAATTTAATTTTTTTGGTTTCTGACATCCTGTAGTGACACTTATCTGCTATGAACTGGGATGTTTTACCATGAAGAGTCAGAGTTTACTCATTGTGTTCTAAAAAGGGTTCAACTTTTTAAAACTTGCTATTAGGTCAGTTCTTTTTACATAAGCTTCTGATTTCTAAATTACCCTCTCTCATTTACTAAGGACATTACCATGATTTTATTGATTATTAAAAATGAATGGCTGGCATTTACAGTGAGGAAGTGAAATAACATCCCCTCTTCCCAAGGGAATGTTTGAACACAAGATACATTAGGAGAATGCCATGTGAAACAAATATGGACAGGTAAATATTTAAAAGCCCCTGCTTTGCATTTCAGGCAGCCAGAAATGGTGCAAAGAAGAGAGGATTTTCTCTTTTCTGGTGTTTGGGCTGGACCCCATAGCTGTTTCTTCTAATAGGGTTCTATTTAGCAGACTCATGATCACATCAGTTTTGTAGCCTTCTTTTCTGATTTGTTAAATCAAACGGCTGCCTGCAGCTCTTGTGTTAAGTCCTGGTAGCGGATGGTTAAATCCATCACAGTGCAGTCAGCCGGGGGGTGAAGCGCTTGTCCTCTGGGAACAGCCTGATGGGAGAAATGAGCTTGGGGTTCCGCTTTGGGGTTAGCAGCTTGCACGTGCTGTGCAGTTCAGAACCCGCCGGCAGCGCTCCTTCCTTAGAGGGTGGCATGGAAAGGTGCGCTGGGGGATCTCCACTGTGTGACTTCGGCCGAATCTGTGGGTATTCGTTTTCCTATCTAGAAAACGAAAGGGAGAGAATCAGCACTCCCTGATCTCTACTCTTCCATGTATTAAAATTAGAAAGCTATTTTCTGTCTTCACCGGAGGCTGTTTTTATTGAATTTTAGATTGTGAGGAAGAGAGACAGACACACATTGATATGAGAGAGGAGCATCAGTAGGTTGCCTCCCATATGCACCCCGGCAGGGAATGGAACATGCACCCGGACATGTGCCCTGACTAGGAAAGGGATGCATGGCCCCCGGGGTGTACATTGGTGCTCCACTAGCTGAGCTGCCCGGCCAGGCAAGCCAGTGTTAAACTCAGAGTACAGAGGGTGTAACTGGCACTAGGTTGGTCCACATGAATATCTGAGTAAGAAAGGGGTTTTTAAAGAAGGTAATGCTGCCTGGCCAGTGTCGTTCAGTGGTTGAGCATTGATCTATGAACCAGGAGGTCACGGTTGGATTTCCAGTCAGGGCACAGGCCTGGGTCATGGGCTCGATGCACAGAATGAGGCATGCAAGAGGCAGCCAGTCAGTGATTCTCTCTCCTCATCGATGTTCCTCTTTCCCTCTCTCTCCCTTTCTGAAATCAATAAAGTACAGAAGGTAATGCTTTCTCTTATTTTATTTTTCACTTATAGTTTTTACACTCAATATTTTATATGTATTTCAGGTGTGCAGCCTGGTGGTTAGAATACTTTACAGAATATTCTCCCAACTTTCCTAGTACCCACCTGGCACCATACATAGTTATTACAATATTGTTAACTATATTCCCTGTACTTTACGTCCATGTGACTGGTATGTTGTAACTGCCAATTTGTACTTTTTTTTTTTTTAATTGATTTTTTACAGAGAGGAAGGGAGAGGGATAGAGAGTTAGAAACATCGACTAGCGGCCTCCTGCACACCCCCCACTGGGGATGTGCCCGCAACCAAGGTACATGCCCTTGATCGTAATCAAACCTGGGACCCTTCAGTCCGCAGGCCGACGCTCCATCCACTGAGCCAAACCGGCTAGGGCCGATTTGTATTTCTTAATCCCGTCACTTTTTTCACTCAGTCCTTCAACCCCCCTTCCAGCTCTGTCTTTGGCAGCAAGTTGTAATGCTGTGCTGACGCCTCCCTTGAGGAAAAGGAAGCGACGGCAGTGGGGACCAACTGTAAGCAGCCTCCGGCCCTGGTGGCTGTGGAAGGCTAAGGCCCAGCATCCTCCTATTCGGTTTAGAATAAAACAAGCAAGTGTGGCGTCTGCAGCGCCTCTGTGGGTGGCACATGTAGTGCCGCTTCTGTTAGGCATGGACAGCACCAGCTGGTGAGTGAGGATAGTCAGTCAGGTTCAAGGGAACCTTACACTCGTTCCCGTTCCCCTTACCGTCTCCCCAGGGGCCAGGAAATGATTATTTTCTCTCCTGGGCCTTATCTTAGTTTCTTCCAAGACTGTGAGAGGAATGAGAAGAAACAATTTATCCATTAGCAACAAATGTTTCTGGGTACCTATTAGGAGATAGAATGTTTTGAGATTGAGTTTTGCTTTTTTGTTTGTTCATTTATTTACCCATGATTTTCAGCTCTGCCTGAGATACGGTGTCCTCTCCGAGGATCTAGAGTCTGATTGGTAGACCAAGCTAATCAGTGTGAAACCAAAGCTTATACACCCCCTATGTTCTGTTATGTACCTCCCTTTCTTGGATTGTTCCAAAAATTCACACTCATTCCCGGCTGTGTTTTCTTCCAGAGAAGATTCCAGAACTATGTTTTGTTTTGTTTTAAACTGGGTATATACCTATCACAGACTGAAAAGTATTAAATATTAATTTCCTGAGAAATTAGCCATATGATTTTTGAAACAAAAGGTGGTCCTGTGGATGGCTGTCCTATTCCTAAGGCTCTCCTCTAGTGCAGCGGCCGCCAGCCATGGTCCCTGAGGCCCGTAAGGTCGGCGACCGCTACTCTATTGCATAGTAGGGTTCGAGCATCCCTTTGTACATGTTTTATGAAGACACAGACAGGTTTCTTGTTTGCTTTGGCAATGTTTATTTGAAGGGCAAGTCTTTGGGAATTGCTGTTTAATTTGATGGTTATTTGGCATGACACAGTGAAGTAATGAGGAGAGTCGGTATTCCCTTATCCCCTTCTGTTTTTGATTTTATAGTTGGCTCTCAGCTCTTGAAAGCACAAAGTGGCTCCATCACCTGTCTGTGCTTTTGAAGTCGGCGCTTCTGGTAGTGCATGCTGTGGATCGAGATCAGCGGCCAGTGCTGGTGCACTGCTCAGATGGCTGGGACCGCACCCCCCAGATCGTGGCATTGGCTAAGCTCTTGCTGGACCCTTACTACCGAACCATAGAGGTGGGTGCACCAGGGCGGAGGACGTGGTACTGCAGGGTGAGTGGGGGACACATTAGAAGGTTAATGATCAGTTTTGGCCGTGTGGTTAGGTCTAATGAAAGTGAAATTGTCTTGTTTGAAGTCATTGCTCCTTTACCTTGAGCTAAATTGTGGTGGTGCCTACCACAGGTCTTGCCTCTTCATTGTGCAGATTTAGATAACAAAGTATTGAGAATGTAGCATATTTTCCTTTGTAGTCTATCTACTTTGAAAAGTTTTCCCTACCCCAAGAAAATGGGGCTTCTGTAGAAGAATCTTGGTATACTTATTGTGGTCATAAGTATTACCACAGTATTCTGTGAAAAAAGGGCTCTACTGTGAGATAACTTCCTGTTGGGTCTGTAAGAAAAACCATGAATGTACCCTAACATTTGTAAATGTACCCTAACATTTGTAAATGTAAACCAGAGGTTAGGAAAGATTTTACAAACATTACTTTCTTTGTAGGTATAACACTAAAGACACTAAAAAGTAAAAAACATTTAGGGGAAAATAATGGCTTTTTTTTTTTTAAATATATTTTTCTTTATTTCAGAGGCGGGGGGGGGTGGGGGGAGAGAAACATCAGTGATGAGAATCATTGATTGGCTGCCTCCTACATGTCCCTACTGGAGATCAATTCCTCAACCTGGGCATGTGCCCTTGACCAGAATCAAACCCAGGACCCTTCAGTCTGCAGACTGATGCTCTATCCACTGAGCCAAACCAGTTAGGGCAAAAATAGTTACTTTTATATAGTGAATGAAGGCTAAAAATATACATTAACTCAAGAAAGGCTTAGTACCCTTTTGATGACTATGGAACAAAGCTGATGGAATGGGAAGATTGGCTTAAACATAATAGGGATGCAGCCTTTGGCTTCAATGGGCTTAGTGGGAGGCTGTTAAGTGTTCACTGCTAGTGAGACCAGGCTCAGGACTGTCCCAGTCTGGACAGACAAGCACCAATGGTCTTTCTTGTGTGCTTCCCTGCAGGGGTTCCAGGTCCTTGTGGAGATGGAGTGGCTAGATTTTGGTCACAAGTTCGCTGATCGGTGTGGTCATGGGGAGAACTCAGATGATCTAAACGAGCGATGTCCAGTGTTTCTGCAGTGGCTTGACTGTGTTCATCAGCTTCAGAGGCAATTTCCTTGCTCTTTTGAGTTCAATGAAGCATTCCTTGTGAGTTTGGGCTTATCATTCTTCATTTTGGGGACCTTCTAAATTCGTGGGGGCAGCAATACAAATGAGAGTGGGCCAGTTTTCACTTGAATCTGTGTCTCCTTTTCAGAATTTAAGGGGGCCATTCTCCCATTTTTAAAATGAAGAAAACAGTAAACAAGTTTTTTCTAAGGTGTACTAGGTTTGTATAGTCTTTGAGTTGGTTTAAAGTTTAAACTAAGCTTTTAAAATGGATGACAGAAGCCTTAAATGCAGCCAGAAATAGAATCAAGAATCAATAATATGTTGACTTGCTCTCCAGTTCACCTGCCAAACCCCCTCTATCTGTCCCACACTCTTTGTCCTTGGCTTTTGACAAAGAACACACTACCCTTCCTTCTTCCAGCTCGTCTCCTCTCCTCTGCTCAGCAGCATGGATAGTTCCCTCTCTGCCATGTCAATGCCACCAGCATAGAAACATGGTGTAGTGGCTCTCATCTCATCTCATCTCATCACACTGTTCTTAGTCCAGCAGCCCCTCCAGCTATCGCTCAAGTCTTCTACATTCACTATCTCAAAACCTTCTCTTCCATTTTCTCTTTAACCTACTCGGATCAGGTGTTCACCCCACCAGTTTATCTGGGCCACTGAACTTCATGTTGGTAACCTAGTGATAAGCTCTTAAGTCTTCATCTTTTAAAAAATATTTAATTCCCATTTATGTAAAATTCCATCAGTCTGTACATTTATCTCTTTTTTAAATTGAGGAGTAATTGACATGTAACATAATTAGTTTCAGGTAAACAGCATAATGATTCAATAGTTGTGTATATTGTGAAATGAGCACCACAATAATGCTAGTTGACATCCTTCACCATACATAGTTATTTTTTTGTATCAAGAACCTTTCAACTTTCAAATATGCAATTCAGTATTAATTATAGTCACCATGCTGTATGTTATAGCCCCATAACTTAATTATTTTATAACTAGAAGTTTGTATCTTTTGGCATCTTTGATCCATTAATATTTGGCATAATTTAATCACTTCTTTCTTGAAACAAATGACTTACAGCATGCACTGTCTCATAGTTCTCCTTATCTCACTAGCTGGTTCTTTTTGTCTCCTTTGCCAGTTGCTCTTTATCTGCCCAGTTCTGAATTTTGGAATGCCCCAGGCCCAACCTGCAGGCTGCTCCTCTATCTGAATTTCCTCTCTTTCGTTTACATTCCAAATTTAGTCTGTCAGCAGGTTCTGCAGCTCTGCTTTCACAATACATCTAAAATCTGGTTACTTACTGCTGTCTCCACTGTTTCCACATTCGTCCAAACCATCACCTCCTGCCCCAATTTAAGAGTTAATCCAGCAGCCAAAGGGGTCCTTCTAAAGCAGAATACAGACCATGTTACTCCTCTGCTGAAACACCTCCATCTTTCCATTTTACAGAGTCAAAGTCCTTAATGATGGCCCGCAGGTCTCCCTGAGAGGTCATCTGTCTAGCTTCATTTCCTGCCATTCTTCTTGTGCAGTGACCTTAGTCCCACTGGCCTCCACCTGGTCCTCGGAAGTCACAAGCACACACTCACTTTAAGACTAGAGTGCTTGCTGTCACCTCTGCTGAGCATTTCCCTTCCCGATGCCACATGACTGCCCTTCATTCCGTCAAGTCTAGGGCTAGGGAGGCTGTCCCACCTGCCTGACCCTCTCACTCACCTTATTGCCCCACCACTGGCCACCCTCTTCCGCAGCCAGAGGAAGCTCCCTCGGGGTGGGAGAGCCCCCTGGTATGGATGTATAGCAGCCCTGGAGCAACGGCGGGAGTATGTGCTGCTCAGTCACCACTTGCTGAAAGAAAAGCCGTTTAGAAGTGTGCTCCCAGCTCAGACTGGGTTTCACACTGACCTGCTCCTGTATGCAGTTCATATGCTGTCACTCTTGAGAGTGCCTTAACTAGGACCTCAGAGTCTGTTTGTCAGGGAGGCAAGAGTGGGTATGCCAGTTATCTGTCTTTGTCATTCCGGTGGTGGTTGGGGTTGGCACTCTGAAAATGGTGCAGTTCGGAGGTGGCTGTTGCGTGGTTTTACTTGGTTCTCCCTCCTTACCGAGTGTGAGCGGAGCTGCTCTCAGGGATGTCTGGGAAGAACGTGCCCAGAGAACGTGTTGCTTGATTTTACCTCCTTGGATTCCCACAGGTGAAACTGGTGCAGCATACCTATTCCTGCCTCTTTGGGACATTCCTGTGCAACAACGCCAAGGAGAGAGGGGAGAAGCACACTCAGGAACGGACGTGCTCTGTGTGGTCGCTGCTTCGGGCAGGCAACAAGGCTTTCAAAAACCTCCTGTATTCCTCTCAGTCAGAAGCCGTATGTATCCTTCAGGCTTCCTCTCTGAGCAGCAGAAGGAATTTATTGGTGGGGACATTTTTTGAATAGTGACTGTTTTCTCAAAGGCATCTCTGTGTGTCTGGATGGGTTGGTTTATTTTTTCCCTTTCCCTTTGTCCTCAAAGACCTGTTTTCTAGTGATGCTCTGACTTGCTTCTGACCACTTTGATTCAGGGTTGTCTGATGCCACGCACAGCTCTGCCCTGGAAACAAATCTTTCCCGGCACCTCCGCCAGAGCTCCCTTACTCCGAGCATGTTCTGGCCAGTGAGTGGTAGAGGCGCCGGAGGTGGGCCTGGTGCCCCTGGTAGCTCAGAAGGAGCTGCCACCAGTCCCCCAGCACCTACGCTATCACCTGCTGGTGCTCTCCACAGCACTTCTGTTCCAGAGGGCAGAAAACTCGGTGCCATTGGCTGTCTGTTTCTGTGCCGACATGAGAACTGGCAGACCCTCTAAGACTTTGTTCCTCAAAGGAACACCTGATAAGCAGAGAGGAGGCTGCGCTTAAACCTGTGTGCTGATGCACCTTACATTCTGAAGAGCTGAAGGAGGCTAATCAGAGGTCTCACTGCTTTGCTGGACCATTAATGTGCTTTTCACTGTATTTAAGGGGAGAGAGATTTGAGGTAACGGCTTCTCTCCTCACTGTGCCTGCCGGGAAAGTAACACAGGAGGAAACTCCCCTCCGTTTCACATGATTGATGAAAACGGTGCTCTAAGAGAGGTCAGCGTGTTCTGAAGCCAAATTTTTGTACCGGGAACAGTCACCATCAGGTGAAATGACTCACTTTCTTATGTAGAAAAAGCAACAAATTAAGCTGGTGAGTCAGTCTTTCAGTAAAGGTGACCTGAGGAATGGATTTTTAAAGAAACACTTTAAGTGTTCATGCTTACCAGAGCCTCTCAGGTGAGACATGTTGCCAAAGTCTCATCTTATTGAGGCCCCTTGGGAAATAGACTGTATCCACTGTGCTCACTTCCTTTGGGAGTTGGCCAAGAACCGCTGTCCCAGCACGGTGCTTGCTTTGACCTTTATGTCTAGTTCTCTCTCAGGACTTGTGAAACCTGTGTCCTCTCCTCTCCCTTCAGGTGCTGTTCCCTGTGTGCCACGTGCGGAACCTGATGCTGTGGAGTGCAGTGTACCTGCCCTGCCCATCCCCGTCCACCCCCGTGGATGACAGCTGTGCCCCGTACCCAGCCCCGGGCAGCAGCCCTGATGACCCGCTCCTGAGCCGGTGAGCCCAGAGTTGGTGCCAAGGCCTAAGTCTGTGTAGTGTGTACCTGTTAGGATGCCAGGGTTGGTCAGAGATCCTGACGTTGCCTGGCTCCACGTGTGTTCTTAGATTTCGGAAGTTTCTACAGAAAAGGTACATATAAGGGCCTGGGCCTCAGTGGCCCTGCCACCACATCACTCTGCTGCAGGCACTGAGCAGGTTTCAGAGATACTGTAAATCCTCTGCATTCCTTGTGACCCTCTGGCTTGAGTTTCAGCCACTGAGTTAACTTTATTGAATTCAGACTGTAAGTTATAAATCAATTTAAAATGATATATATCAGTAAATTAGCAGTACTTACTTTCCTTTGCCACTCGTTGAGGAACAGTAGTATCACAAATAGCATTTGCTGTTAGCTTATTGGCACATTTTGGGATGGGGTGGAGCGGTGCAGGGGAAGTCTGCACTCACAGAGGCTCGGTCCTCAGTTTGCCTTTCTAGCAGCCTGAGCCTCACTGCAGAGGCCGTAGCTCCCTGAGTAGTTATAATGGACCCAGTTATGAAATGACAACCTGTGAAAAATCTGTTTCCTATTTTCCATCTGATGAGCCTCCGAGTCTCACTTCCCCCACCTTCCTTTGCTTTAGGCTACCAAAGACCAGGTCATTTGACAATCTGACCACAGCCTGCGACAACACGGTGCCTCTCGCCAGCCGGCGCAGCAGCGACCCCAGCCTGAATGAGAAGTGGCAGGAGCACCAGCACAGGCGCTCCCTCGAGCTAAGCAGCCTGGCTGGGCCTGGGGAGGAGCCCCTGGACCCCGACAGCCTGGGCAAGCCAGCCAGAGTGCTGGGCGGCGCAGAGCTCTCTGTGGCGGCGGGAGTGGCCGAGGGGCAGATGGAGAACATTCTGCAAGAGGCCACCAAAGAGGAGAGTGGGGCAGAGGAGACTGTCCCGAGGGGGAGTACCCTGATGCAGGAGGGCACAGAGGAGGCTCCCTTAGGACAAGACAGCAGGGGGAAGGCCCCTGAGGACTCAGCCGTGGTGCTTCATCAAGCATCACCTCTGGATCCTGCTGTGCTGAGGAGCCCTCCAGGCACCAGCCTTCCGCTCTCCGCACAGGGTGCTCCTGCCCCGCAGGGCGGGCACAGTGTTCTTCCCGGCGCTCTCCAGGAGCCCCCCGTGGGAGGGGAAGTCCAGGAGCCCCCCGTGGGAGGGGATGTCCAGGAGCCCCCCGCGGAGCAGCCTCAAATAGCTATCGCAGAGGACAGGGAGGAAGCAATGACTACAATCCCAGTTGCCGCAAACACTGGTTATGGTACCTCACAGTCAAGTCCTCCGCTGCTCTCCCAAGTCCCATTTGAGGCCAGAGGACCAAGCATGGACAGGCCTTTGGACGTGTTAAGGGAAGATAAAGTGAAGTCAGACAGTGGGTCTCATCACAGACCTTGCCCGGTAAACAGCGACAGGCTTAGCGGCAAGGACATGTTTCCTGCAGCCGAGGAGCACAGGCCCCCAGAGAAGAGCCTGGCCGAGAGGCCCCCAGTGGGATCTGGGATGCATAGGACTTCCCCTGGCAGCACCCACAGCCCAGCACGTCCCCCTTGTGCCTTGCCTGTAGCTGAATGTAAAGAGGGGCTAGTGTGTAACGGTATCCCAGAGACTGAAAACAAGGCCTCTGAGCAGCCCCCAGGGCTTAGCATCCTCCAGGAGTATCCCACCCCCAACGGGCACTACGCCAATGGGGAGGCTGGTCGGATCAAGGACTCCCTGAGCTGCCAGCTCTCTGCTATAAGCTGCAGCTCTGCCCACTTACACTCGAGGAACTTGCACTACAAGTGGCTACACAGCCAGACAGGGAGGCCATCTGCAACCGGAAGCCCTGACCAGCCTTCTCGCAGCCACCTGGATGACGACGGCATGCCTGTGTACACAGACACTATCCAACAGCGCCTGCGTCAGATTGAATCGGGCCACCAACAGGAAGTGGAGACCTTGAAGAAACAAGTCCAAGAGCTGAGGAGTCGCCTGGAGAGCCAGTATCTGACCAGCTCTCTACGCTTCAACGGGGACTTTGGGGATGAAGTGGTGAGTACACTGTGCTTACAGCTGCCCAGGGACCAGAGCACACTGAGGCTGGCTACCCTCTGTGGCTGGTGCATGGTGATGGTACAGATTTCTCAAACAGTTGGAAAGGCAGCCATGTGAATGGCCATCTGCCTTTTTCTTTCCTGCCTTGCTTACTTTCCACGAGTGCCTGTTCAGGCAGTTAGAATAAGGAAGAGATCTAGTACCAGTTACACGGTTAGTCAAGATCCTGGAGAGAGGATCATAAGGGCATAGACTCCTGGTCAGAATGACATTGCAGGGTAATATCCAATATTCCTATTAAATGTAGTGCTTGTCCTACTCTGGTAGCACTGCCCGCCCACCATGGGCTGTACCAATGCAGGTTTAGTTCTTTTTTAACAGATACTCTGGCAGGTGATGGCAGAAATGGAGAAGTGATTGATTTCTAGCCCTAGCACTGATGGGGCCTGGTAAAGCAGTGGGGTACAGAGGGGAGATTGTCCAGGAGGCTGTCTCACTGGGTGTGCTAATGGTCTAGTATTTGGTGTTGTTGGACAAGTGCAAACTTGGCTCTGAGGCAGTCAGCGTACATTAAAGGCGGGCTCATCAGTGACTTTCAATTACAACCGTCTTCTCAGTTTTTCCTTCACACTAATGATGATTTCTCATTTTCCCGAGTCCTTCAGAGAGAGGACAGGCCCAAAGCACTCAATTTCAACACACAGATATAAGCGGCAGGGTTGGATTGACAGGCCCACTGGAGCAGCTGACACTGAGTTCCCACTCCATCCTGGTCACTGCTGCCCCACTCACTTCCTGGAATCCAAGGCCCAGAATCATTGCACACAGCCTTAGACCTGTGTATCTCTCTTCCAGCTGAGCTCAACCCTGTCTCTGCACCTGCTCAACCCAGTTCTTTTTTTTTTTTTTTTTTTTTTTTTTTTTTTAAATATATATTTTATTGATTTTTACAGAGAGGAAGGGAGAGAGATAGAGAGCTAGAAACGTCGATGAGAGAGAAACATCAACCAGCTGCCTCTTGCACACCCCCTACTGGGGATGTGCCCGCAACCAAGGTACATGCCCCTCACCGGAATCGAACCCACGACCCTTCAGTCCGCAGACCGATGCTCTACCACTGAGCCAAACCGGTTTCGGCTCAACCCAGTTCTTGATGGCTGATGTACTGTACCTACAGATTCGGCAGCTTAAACCAAAGGCCCACCCAAAGTCCCCAGTGCTCCCTCTTCTTTTCCAAGCCCTTTCTTCTTCTTCAGGAAGGAGACCAGGTTCATTCTCTTCAGCTGTGTTTGTTTGCCAACAGACTTCAATCCCCGACTCGGAAAGCAATCTGGATCAGAACTCTTTGTCTCGCTGCAGCACAGAGATTTTCTCTGAAGCCAGCTGGGAGCAGGTGGATAAACAGGACACAGAGGTACAGGCTCAGCCCCTGTTCTGAGTGCCATCCATGCAACTTTTGCAGTTCTTCTCCATCCCCATCCCAACCCCCTTCCCCTGGGCAAGGAATCGCCCCCTAGCACAGTTAGCCTTGAGCCTCTGTGAATCTCGGCGCCTGTGGATCCCCACGGAGCCTAGAATTTTTGAGCTGGCGAGCTCATTGCCTCTATCAGCTGGAACTTTGCCAGCTCTTAGTGACCCAAGTTGCTGCTGCCTGCCATTTTATCGCAGGGGAGTTTGGAGTCCCCTCCAGGACAATGATTTGGACGCCTTTCTTGTACTGCTGACATCAGACCTGCTGGTCTGGTGCCCCCAGAGACAGTTTGGTCTTTGTGACTCTTGTGGCTCTGCTGGTAGCAGCTGGATGGCCCATTTCCTGTTACTAACCTGGCCCCATCTCTCTTACAGATGACCCGTTGGCTCCCTGACCACCTGGCTGCCCACTGCTATGCCTGTGACAGCGCCTTCTGGCTCGCCAGCAGGAAACACCACTGCAGGTGCCACTGGAGGGTGTGGTGGCCAGGGTGTGGGGTTAGATTGGTCCATGGAGCCTGTAGCTTGGAGAGATGCAGGCATCTGGCTGGCAGTATTGTCTTAAGACAGCCCCCTGGTCCACAGGACTTCTAACTTACACTTTTTTTGTTTCGCTTCCCAGATTGGTGGGTCAGTAGCCACCACTCAAATCACCATTTCTTATTCCTAAAACTGCTTCCCATTCAACATGGCTGCTATGAGCAAAATGGTTTTCCAGTTGTGGACAGGGAACTTCATTTTTCCTACTTCTTACCCTGTTTCCTGACCCCAAGCTTGGTTTCCTTTTGCTAGTGGTGAGCAAAGTAGCTGGGAGAGCAGTTGAACAGCGGAGGACAGTCTTTAAACCTACAGGCTCCTGACTTCTTCCTTCCTTCCTTCTTGGTTGGGTAGTGAGTTGCTCCTGATGCTTGGCCCCACCTGGGGTGGTGGCTAGAGGATGGTCAGTGTTCTTGGTACAGGAAGTGTATGTGAATCGTGGGAAAGCTTACACACCTGAGTGATCCCAGACAAGAACATGGAATCATCTCTTTGTCTAGTAATGACACTTTTAGGATCATATATCTCCCTACCCTGCGCCCCAAGCCCAAATGTCTTTGGTTGGCTTCTCCTCTGAGCTCTTTCTCCCCTCCTTGCAGGGACACTGACCGTGTTGATCAAACGTGGTGAGCATTTGCAACAACATGTCTGTGATGTCTGCATAGCTACAATAACTTCACACTAACGCGCCATTCCCCTTCTCGGCACTCATTGGGATGTAAGCTGGGGCTGGGAGCACAGGCAGGCAGGTGGCTTCCGGGAGAACCAAAGCAGCCAGCTGAGCAGACCCTTAGGGCTGAGCCAGGCTGCAGCCCTGCACTGCCTCCTGACTGCACGGGCAGCTCAGCCATCTTGCTTGTGACAAGCAGCAGTGCTTCAGCGGGTCTTGTGGAATAGCCTGCTGGATTTTTAGAGGCTTTTTTTTTGGTGGGTGGGGGTGGGCAGTCATTCTGAGATGCCAGAATAATGCTAATGACTTCTAAGTCAAACAGCATCATGCCACCCCCGACCCCCCAAAGAGACCAGAAATGAACAGAGGTTGTCTTTCCACAGAACGGTTTGACACGGAAGACTTGAGGGGAAGACTCCACTTAGGGTCTGTCAGGATCCCCTGAAGTCAGATTGAAAAGCTTAACTGTCAAATTCATGTTACGATGTGTTAAATAAATGTAAATATTCAAAAAACAGATTTAGGTAATTTTTCTGTATAACCACAGGTTCTTGCTGACTTTTTTCAAAACAGTTGTGAAGTACTGCATTCCAGAAAGTTTTGTGTTTTAGTTTTCTGTCCTTTCATTACCCTGTGTCTAGACTTTTCCTTTGTGGTGTTTTTTTGTTTGTTTTGTTGTTTTTTTGTCCTGAAAGGATCTTCTGTATTCTCTCCTCTGAGCCTAGCTGGTCCTTAATCCAGTACTAGGTTTGCATTCTGAGGAATATAAATGCAAAGAGTGATGCTGGCTGAGAAGACCTTCCCTTTGCTGCTTTCCCCGTCTTTGGCGAGCTGCGTTAGGCTCCTTGCAATCTCCTGTTCTTGGCTCATTGGGATTGGTTTGTCCTGTAAGGCCCATCACAGTGGGTTTGTAAGGTGGGCAGAAAGTCATCCTCTGCCAGTTAGTTCCCTTTCCAGTTAGCTGTGACAGGTGTCTTGTTTGGGTGTACACACACACACACACACACCCCCCTCAGAGGCGGGCTTTCAAGTGGAGGAGAGGGGAGGCATGAGGCCTGGATACAAGTCAGGTCTTCAGGCAGAGCGATCGGATAGTCCCTGGAGTTGCATGGGGGCAGGGGAGTGAGCCATCATTGACTGATACCTTCTAATAAGGGGATGTGTGCATGTGTGTTCATCTGTGATCTTGTCATTTCACCCTGAGCATGTGTCTGTCACTGGTTGCTTGTCTCTGGCTTTGCATGCTGGACTCAGAGCAGTCCTAGATGGCAGCAATCTATTCTCCGTGTTGCTGCCTGTGAGCCTCTGGGGCAGTGGTCCTGTGGGCCAGGCTCCTCACCCCCCAGCTGGGCAGGTATTTTCTCTCAGCTGCAGGGCTTGTGGGAGTTCCCCTGGCCTCTGGCCTCTCTGTGACCACCCGCTACATAGAGGCTGTTGCCCAGGTGGGTGTGGCCACAGATTTTCCTGGCCAGGACTTACCCATAGAGCTAGCAGCTGCTTCTGCCCCAGGCTCATTTGCTTTCACAGATCTCTCTGGAGCAACATTCTCGTGTAGACCTGGTACCCTTGAGCCATAGTGACGAGACTGTGACTGATAGGTAGGGATCCCCTCTCTGCTTGGCTTTTTCTTGGCTAGACAAATGAAAGTTCACTTAGAGGAGTCTCCAGCACATTTGAATTGCACACAACTAATTCCTGTCTTCTGAAGTTGGCTTCCCCACCCATATCTGCTACCAAAACTAACATTGTTTTGTTTCTTCTCCTCACCTCAAGGAATTGTGGGAATGTATTCTGCTCCAGTTGTTGTAATCAGAAGGTTCCAGTTCCCAGCCAGCAGCTCTTTGAACCCAGTCGAGTATGCAAGTCTTGCTATAGCAGCCTACATCCCACGAGCTCCAGCATTGACCTTGAACTGGATAAGCCCATTGCTGCCACTTCAAACTGAAGCTACGTGACCTGGGGCAGGCAGAGCCAAGCTGCTGTTCCTGTGCCAGGCCCGCCAGCCTGGCAGCCCGAGAGGCCCGTGCCCTTTGGAATGGGGCTTGGAACCACCTGTGCAGAGTGACAGAAATTGGGATGTACCACTGGATTGTAGATTGATGTTTCTTTCCTGTTTTTTCCCCCCTCCCTCCCCGTCCCACTTCCCCCCTGCCCCCCCATTAGAAAAATGCCCCCTGGCTGGCTTGAGGAAAGGGAAAGTGTTTGATGGGTACCGGAGACTGCCAGGCCCGCTAAGCTGCCTGTTGTCAGGCAATGCTGAGGGCTGGCTCGGTTTCTCAGGATGGAAGGAGGCTGGTCAGAGTCGGGAGTGGAGGCCTGAGGAGCACGGGAAGGGCCAGTGCTAATTTGTGACCATTCCTCTCGCCAATCGGAGCTGGTTGGAAACCTTGGCTGCTGAGGAGGCTGGAAGCATCTTCCCTAAGAGCATTGCCCCGGGCACCCGCTCCCTCCTGCTAGGGGCCAGTCCTACCTCACAGGCAGAGGAGACTGGCTTTTGGGGGAAGGAAGGTGTATGTTCTGAGGCAGTGAGAGGGGAGGGCTGGGTGGTCGGCATGGGATTGTGTGAACTTGATCTAGGGCTCCCTTCTGTCTTGGGTCTGCCTCTTCGCCAGGCTGTGTAGTGCTTCCCACTCTCTGCATAGGAGTGCAGACTGGTCAAGTCTGTTGCTGTGGCCAAGGCCAGAGCCTGCCCTGAGCCCAGGCACCTGGTCCCCCAAACAATCTCGTCCTTGGCTAGCACAGGGAAATCCAGACTCAGGGTTCCAAAAACTCCCCACTCCCAAAACAAATCATGGACCTCCCCCTCAAGGGGTAGAATCAGCTGGGAAGGGGCGTGTCCCACACAGTCAGCCTTCCGCTCCTGCCCTGTCCCTGTGCTGCCGCCAGCACTGAGGGCCCCCGGGTGGCTGTGGTCCTGGGAAGTGACAGCCCGTAAGCAGCTCAGGGCACCTTCCCTCAGTAAGCTTTGATGTGGTCCCAAAGAGCCTTAAATCAATATTTGTGGTGGAGGTGGGTATGGGGAAGGGCTGGAGAGAGAGGTTGTGCTTTGTAATCTCGGTTGGCATCCATGTTTTGTGCCTGCCCTCCCTTTCCAGGAAGGGCCATGCCTGGGTCTGCTGAAGCTAAGTGGTCACCGGGCGGATCGTGGTGAGTGGCGGGGATGAGACCGGGGAACGCTTTCTGGAAGCGGTTCCCTGTTCTGAGAAGCTCGGTCTCAGGAAGGTGGCTGTGTGTGTGCCTGGCCAGGCTTAAGACGGGGCCCAGAGGCCATCCCTGGAGCAACCAACCCCTTGTCCCGGCAGAGCCAAGAGCACCTGAGCACGAGCCGACCTCCTAGTGGCAGCAGGTGGCGGAGGGTGAATTTGGTGAAACAGGGTGTAGCTCTCTACGCTGCGTGGTCTCCCGCGCTGACAGGGAGGGGTCAGTCTAAGTGAAGAGTGTGCATTTCTTAGTGACAGGTGCCAAGAGGTTATGATACGGGTTTCTTGGGTCTGATGTACAGTGTGAATAAATGCTTGCAGCTCTTAGCCCTTTTTTGGATCAATGAAGCACTTTTTTAATATTTTCCTTTGTATGTAAAGGAGGAGCCCTAACTCTCCGTAGCTGTACATATAACCCTTTTTCCTAAAGAGGAGTCAGACAGTGCTCCTATATTTTTCATTTTTTGTCAAAGCAAGAAGTAAATACTTTAGAACTGTTAAATATATAAATAAAGTGAATAAAGTTTAGTGTTCCGCATGGTAGCATTTGCTAACATGTTCCGATTTTTTCCCTTCTGGTTTGTCCCTCTGTATCCCTTTTCTGTCTCACTCAGAAGCAGTGTGAAGTGCAGCTGGGAACCTGGCCTTTGGCAAAGGAAAACTAGATTTCTTTTCCCCTCTGGACCTTGACAAGGACCGTACCAGGACCAGGACGCCCCAGCACTGAGACACATTTCTGTGGTGGTTTTGCCCCTAACATTTCCAAAGCCACAGAAGCAGGCAGGCACCGGATCAATCAAGTGGTTCTTCCTTATCTGAACAACTGAGCATCGGCAGTACTTAAAACTGCTGCTGGTCTCCTGCTGCTGCTGCTCTGGCTCCTTAACCCTGCCTACCCAAGGAGCATCAGCTGCACCTGTAGCAGCTGAAAGACGCCGTGGGGAGACTGGCTAGCCCAATGGTGGCAAACTCATTAGTCAACAGAGCCGAATATCAACAGTATGATTGAAGTTTCCTTCGAGAGCCAAATTTTTTAAACTTCTAACACCACTTCTTTAAAATAAACTCGCCCAGGCTATTTTGTGGAAGAGCCACACTCAAAGGGCCAAAGAGCTGCAAGTGGCTCGAGAGCCGCAGTTTGCCGACCACAGGGCTAGCTGGTTTGCTCTGATTACAGCATCAGCCCAGGAACTGAAGGGTCACAGGTTCAATTCCAGTCAAGGGAACATACTTCAGGGGCAGGCTGGATCCCTGGCCCCAGTTAGGAAGCAACCGATCCATGTGTCTCTCCCTCTCCCTCTCCCACTCTCTAAAAATCGGTGGGAAAAACTAGTGAGGACTAACAAAACAAAAAAGATAGCACTTTTGTGTGTGCTTGGATGAGAGACTTTGGACAGAAACTGAATAGGATGTGGGTGGAGTATGTGCCTAACGAGGGGTCTGGGAGGAACCTGTTCCTTAGGTATGCAAGCAGCGAGCTAGGCCATAGCTTCCAATCATGACCTGGCCAGTTCTCCCTCTGCACAGAGGTGACTTCTTCCCACGCGCGTCGCTGTTGGGCATCCCTCGGGGGTACGCTGTGCAGTCCCTCCCTGGGGCAGGCTGGTGTTGAGTGGTGCTCAGATAATGGGGTCTCCACCCAGTAGCTCCATGCTGTGCTGGGTGGGCTTTGTTGAAAAGGGACCTGCTCAGAGCCCCTCTGAGGCCTTAACTCTGAGGCAGGCTTTTCAGGGCCAATTTCTGGATGGTCAATTCCTCTCTCCCTAGAACACAAGCACTAAAAACAGCTCAGCTGGTTGCAGTGTGGAAGCTGCAAGTGCCTTCCGCCCATGTTTGAGAATTAGCCTGTCTTAGGGAGCAGAAGCTGCTGTCGCAGCTGCCTCCAGTCCAGCACGAAGCCCAGCAGTCTGTGCAGACCAGTTTGTAAAGAATCTGTCTCCCAGCCAAGTGTGTGTCTGTACACAGCTCCTATTGTTCGGAGGTCTCACGGTTTAGCCCTCAGTGAGTTCAAACACCAACAGAACCTGGCAAGTCTGTGGATGCCCACAGGTGAGAGCTGCAGAGACCTGCACCGCGTGGGCAGAAGACAGGACTTGCCCTGTGACGAGGGCTGGCTGAATGTGATTCAAGGCCAAGGCCAGCTTTCTTCGCCCACCACGTGGAGGAACTTGGTCTGAAGGAATGGGGTAGTACTATAGTGACTGAGCTGAATTTTCCTATCCTGGCACTCGGTATTTCCCTTCTTTCTATACTTCGGCCTCCTTATCCCAGACCCCAAATGACAGAGCTGCCTTAATCCCCTGGCTTTCCTATTGAGGATGTATAGAAAATTTTTTCTTAAGTAATTTTGCTGAAATGCTCCCTGTTCATGTCTATGTTAGCAAAGAATATCCTAAGAATTAAAAAGGTACTGTGGCAGATTTGAAGGAGAATGAACAAAGTGGAAGTTATTTAGGATTTGTTAAGTAATTTCTAGCTGTCAAAGAATATTAAGTGGGAAATAAGATTACAGGCAATTGTCCTTGATATGCTTGACTGCTGCACACTGAGAGGAGATCCTGTGCCTATTGAAGGTGTTAACTTGAGCCTCTACTGATCCTTTCAGAGTGAGAACTGATTGAAATGCGCTTTCTCAGGGTTTATTAGTGGCTTAAGTGGCCTGTCCCCAGCTGCACTGCCCATCGCTAATAGCAGGGTTAAAAAGGGGCCCTGGGCTCCTATGACCAGAGGTTGCAGGGCCCTGACTCCATCTGAGCTTGGCATAACAGCTGGAGTCCCAGCTGCTCAGTTCCATTTTCTAAGAACATTTGTTCTAAGCTGAGGTTACTGACGATTTCCGAGAACAGGAGGAGGAGGAGGCAGCCTCCTGAGCCTCTGACTCAAACAGGAGCCCTGCTGACCGCTGTCCTGAGCACATACCAACACTGGCACCGTTCCACCCTGCGTGTGGCGTCCATTCCACACAGACACCAGCTGCCCGCCCGGCGAACGGGCTCTTTCTAGGCTAGGACAGGCAGGAAGGGCACGGGAAGAGGAAAGGTCACCCTCTAAAACGGGAATTACAAGGTTTTAAATGCTCTCGTATTTTATTTACCACTTGGTCTTTTGATTCAGACCTGAGTTCTTAACTTTCTTATAATGCTTTCAGCAGTTGCATTTCAATTGTATTTTCAGCGACACTTGTTTTGTATTGGCATTTAAAACTGGCTTTTAACTGCCTCCCAATTGGTTTATAAGATTAAAAGAAAAACACCTAACCAAGAGGCTTGGCTGCTGCTTAAGAAATACACTGTGCTGCTTCTGATAGTAAGTGCTTGCCTACTGTGTCAGCATTGATTCTGTGTAGCCTCAGTGACCATTTAAAAGTAAATAACTGTCATTTTCACCCACACACAGGCGTGGAGCCCCTGGGTTCAGGTTCAGTGCGTGGAGAGTGAGGGATCCATCAGCTCAGCCCCTCAGTCTGTCTGGGAGATAGGGGCCTGGTGGGGAGGGGCAGTGGGTATGGAGTACTGGCTTAGTGGTGAAAGGCCTTAGATTAGCTAGTGTCGTGTTTTTTGGGCAGCTCTGCCAGGCCGGTGTGGGGAGGGAGTCCCAGGCCCATTCAGTATTAGGCTAGGTGAAATCAGAATCACTGATTTAGTCCAACCTCCTGGTTTTTGTTGAAACTGAGGTTTAGGGCACAGCAAAGACTCATCCAGTGTCCCCAATGAATAAATAGCAAAGTGTGAATTAAAAATTCTTT